AATGGCAGAGAAAAGAAAGTGGGAGTAGCAATACTTATATCAGACAAAATAGACTTTAAAACAAAAACTGTAACAAGAGACAAAGATGGGCACTACATAATGATAAAGGGAACAATCCAACAAGAAAATATAACACTTGTAAATATCTATGCACCCAACATATGAGCACCTAAATATATAAAGCAATTATTAACAGACATAAAAGGAGAAATAGTCAGTAACACAATAATAGTAGGGGACTTGAACACTCCACTTACACCAATGGATAGACCATCCAAACAGAAGATCAATGAGGAAACACTGCCCTTAAAGGACACATTAGACCAGAAGGACTTAGTAGATATATACAGAACATTCCATCCAAAAACCACAGAATACACATTCTTTTCAAATGCACATGGAACATTCTCCAGGATTGATCACATATTAGGACACAAAACAAGTCTCAACAAATTTAAGAAGATCGAAGTAATACGATGCATCTTTTCTGACCACAAAGGTATTAAAATAGAAATCAACTACAGGAAGAAAACCAGAAAAGCCACAAAAATGTGGAGATTAAACAAAATGCTACTGAACAACGATTGGGTCAATGAAGAAATCAAAGGAGAAATAAAAAAATTCCTGGAGACAAATGAAAATACAACATGCCAAAATCTGTGGGATACAGCAAAAGCAGTTCTAAGAGGGAAGTTTATAGCAGTTCAGGCCTACCTCAACAAAGAAGAAAAATCCCAAATAGAGAATCTAAAAGCACATCTAAAGGTACTGGAAAAAGAACAATAAACAAAGCCCAAAATCAGCAGAAGGAAGGAAATAATAAAAATCAGAGCAGAAATAAATGAACTGGAGAGTAAAAAAAAATAGAAAAAATTAATGAAACCAAGAGCTGGTTCTTTGAAAAGATAAACAAAATTGACAAATCCTTAGCTAGACTCACCAAGAAAAAAAGAATGCTCAAATAAATAAAATCAGAAATGAAAGAGGAGAGATTACAACGGACGCTTCAGAAATACAAACGATAATAAGAGAATACTATGAAAAGCTATATGCCAAAAACTGGATAATCTAGAAGAAATGGATAAATTCTTAGAAACATACAACCTTCCAAAATTGGACCAAGAAGATGTAGAAAATTTGAATAGACCGATCACCAGAAAGGAGATTGAAACAGCAATCAAAACCTCCCAAAAAATAAAAGTCCAGGACCAGAAGGCTTCCCTGGTGAATTCTACCAAACATTCAAAGAAGACTTAATACCTATCCTTCTCAAACTCTTCCAAAAAATCAAAGAGGAGGGGTGGCTTCCTAACTCATTCTACGAAGCCAACATTATCCTGATACCAAAACCAGACAAGGACAACACAAAAAAAGAAAATTACAGGCTAATATCACTGATGAACATCAATGCAAAAATCCTCAACAAAATACTAGCAAATTGAATACAACAATACATTAAAAAGATCATACATCATGATCAAGTGGGTTTCATTCCAGGGATGCAGGGATGGTTCAACATGTGCAAATCTATCAACGTGATACACCACATTAACAAAATGAAGAATCAGAATCACATGATCATCTCAATAGATGCAGAGAAAGCATTTGACAAGATACAGCATCCATTTATGATAAAAACTCTGAATAAAATGGGTAGAGAAGGAAAATACCTCAACATAATAAAGACCATATATGACAAACCCACAGCAAATATCATTTTCAATGGAGAAAAACTGACAGCTATCCCTCTAAGAACAGGAACCAGACAAGAATGCCCAGTGTCACCACTCTTATTTAACATAGTATTGGAAGTCCTAGCCAGAGCAATCAGGCAAGAAAAAGAAATAAAAGGGATCCACATTGGAAAAGAAGAAGTGAAACTGTCACTCTTTGCAGATCACATGATTTTATATATAGAAAACCCTAAAGAATCCACTAAAAAACTTTTAGAAACAATAAAGGAATACAGTCAAGTTGCGGGATACAAAATCAACATACAAAAATCGATTGCATTTCTATACACTAACACCGATGTAGCAGAAAGAGAAACTACAAATACAATCCAATTTACAATTGCAACAAAAAGAATAAAATACCTGGGAATAAACTTAACCAAAGAGGTGAAAGATCTGTACACCGAAAACTATAAAACATTGTTGAAAGAAATCAAAGAAGATGCAAAGAAATGGGAAGATATTCCGTGCTGTTGGATTAGAAGAATTAACATCATTAAAATGTCCATACTTCCTAAAGCAATCTATAGATTCAATACAATCCCTATCAAAGTTCCAACAAGATTTTTCACAGAAATAGAACAAAGAATCCTCAAATTTATATGAAACAACAAAAGACCCCAAATAGCCAAAGGATTCCTGAGAAAAAAGAACAAAGCTGGAGGTATCACACTCCCTGATTTCAAAATATACTACAAAGCCATAGTAACAAAAACAGCATGGTACTGGCACAAAAGCAGACACAGAGATCAATGGAGCAGAATCGAGAGCCCAGAAATAAACCCAGATTTATGGACAGGTAATAGTTGGCAAGGGAGTCAAGAGCATAGGATGGAGAAAGGAGAGTCTCTTCAATAAATGGTGCTGGGAAAACTGGACAGCCACATGCAAAAGAATGAAAGTAGACCATTCCCTTACACCATGCACAAAAATCAACTCAAAATGGATTAAAGACTTGAATGTAAGACCCGAAACCATGAAACTTCTAGAAGAAAACATAGGTAGTATGCTCTTTGACATCGGTCTTAGCAGCATATTTTCAAGTCCCATGTCTGACCGGGCAAAGGAAACAAAAGAAAAAATGAACAAATGGGACTACATCAAACTAAAAACCTTCTGCACAGCAAAGGAAACCATCAACAAAACAAAAAGACAACCTAACAATTGGGAGAAGATATTTGCAAACCATATATCAGATAAGGGGTTAATATCCAAAATATACAAAGAACTCATACAGCTCAACAACCAAAAAACCAACAACCCAATTAAAAAATGAGCAAAAGATCTGAGCAGAGATCTCTCCAAAGAAGATATACGGATGGCCAACAGGCATATGAAAAGATGCTCAACATCATTAGCTATCAGGGAAATGCAAATCAAAACTACAATGAGGTATCACCTCACTCCGGTCAGAATGGCTATAATTAACAAGACAGGAAACAACAAATGTTGGAGAGGATTGGAGAGAAGGGAACTCTTGTTTACTGCTGGTGGCAGTGCAAACTGGTGCAGCCTTATGGAAAGCAGTATGGAGTTTCCTCAGAAAATTAAGACTAGCTCTACCATATGATCCAGCTATCCCACTGCTGGGTATTTATCCAAAGAACTTGATAACACAAAGGCATAAAGATACCTGCACCCCTGTGTTCATTGCAGCATTATATACCATAGCCAAGACTTGGAAGAAACCTAGGTACCCATCAAGGGACGAATGGATAAAGAAGTTGTGGTATTTATACACGATGGAATACTACTCAGCCATAAGAAATGATGAAATCCGGCCATTTGTGACAACATGGATGGACCTTGAGGGTATTATGCTGAGTGAAATAAGTCAGAGGGAGAAAGTCAAATACCGTATGATCTCACTCATAAGTAGAAGATAAAAACAACGACAAACAAACACATAGCAATGGAGAATGGATTGGTGGTTACCATGGGGGAAGTAGGGGTAAGGGCAAAAGGGTGATGAGGCTCATATGAGAGGGGATGGACTATAATTAGTTTCTCGGTGGTGAACATGATGTAATCTACACAGAATTCGGAATATATTATGGTGTACATTTTAAATATAAACAATTTTTATTTGTCAATTATACCTCAATAAAGCTGGGGGAAAAAAGAAAAAAAAACTGAAGAGCTTCATTTATGGGATTTTATAGACTTTGCGTAAAGAAATATTAGTTGATGGAGAAGCTAGAAAGAACAGCAATCTTGGCACAGAAACTTAGTATGAAATAGAATATGGACTCTTTGAAATGGGCAAAATTTTTCAAAGTTCAAAGAAAAGTCCAATTCCAGAAACTTGGCAGCTGGAAAACAGCTTATTGAACTCTGAATGAAGACATTATTATAAATCTCATTACATGATTTGATAATTTTGACATTTGTGAAAGCCCACTGACATAAGTCTTGAATTGCACAAAGTCAAAATTCTCCACACAAAATAAGCTGGATGGAAAATTTTATCCTAATTTTGCTCTGATTACCATTCTTTAGTTTTAAGTGACAGCAGTTGTTTTAAAAGTATAAGTGGAACACTGAAAATGCATTTAAAATTTTCCTTTATGATTAAGAATTAAAGTCTGTGTCACATAGCTTCACACACACAAAAAATAAAAATAAAGCCTTGCCTGAATCCCCAGGCACCCCGTCCTCTAGCATTATTCACATTATGTTGTAATCATTTGCTCACATATCTGTCTAGGAGAGGACAATTTCTTCCTCCACACCTAGAGAATGCCTGGCACATAAAGTAGCCAATCTTTAATGAGTGAAGGAATGAATAAGTAGGCTCAGCAGTGTTCTCAGGGACTACCACAGAAGGGGCAAGACTGCCTTCCTGACGCGACTTCCACTCGAGTGCTGTACCCCCCTCCTCCCATGTGCCCAGCACTATGTTTGTGCTTATGCAGGGACGTGCCCTTTGAGGAAAACACAGCAAGTAGGAAAGAGGGAGAGCGTCTGAGCTCTAATTTTAAGGGTGGATCTGCATTCACCTTCGGAATAGTTCCAATTGTCAGGGAGTAAATACAACTATTCTTAAATGCGATATTCTCACCAATGCCCTTGCTGAATGACAGTTGGGCTAGAACACTTGGGGAAACCTCCAGACGACTAGGGGGCAAATAATTTTATCACAGTGCCAAAATTTTCCCATTTAAACAGCTGAAGTTTGCCAGGAGTGAGGGCTCTGTAAATATGTGTAAATCGATCCAACCTATTTCCGAGGGGGGCCTGGGATATATAATCAACACTGACAAACACCTTATGGAATCTACCAGCAGCTGAGGGCTCCAAGCATCTTTACTGCCTCCCTGGAAGGCCCGACCGAGCGGCTCTTGGACACTTTCTTTGGCCCCCGTCCCCTCCCGGGACGTGGACGTTATCCCGTAGAGATCGAGCCCGGCCTCCGGCGCCTGCCCGGGCCTGGGCGGGCGGGGCCCGCCACGTGGAGCGCAGACGGGATTCTCGGAAGGCGCCTACGCAGTTGCCGCGGCGCAGCTCCGGGCCGACTCCTCGCCCCACGTCAACAGCGGAGGCCCCGCGGCCTGGGTTACTCCAACGCCGCTGACGTAACGTCATCTTGCGGGACGTGGACGGAAGAAAAAGGCGAGCAAGCCGGCGCTAGAATCAGCCGGCGTGGAGTGTGGGCAAGGCGGCTGCACCGAGCAGTGGCTGGACCGGGCGGCGGCGGTGAAGCAGGTACGCGGCTAGCGGCGGGGATGGCGGGGATGGCGGCAGGCATGGCCGGGATGGGGCGGCGCTGGTGCCTCTGCAGGGGCTGATACGGCGCCAGGGCCGACGCGAGGGAAGGTGTGCACGCCGGGCCGTGGGCGACCGAGGGAGCTGAGGGGGTGCCGCCCCAGCAGGAGCCGGGGGTCAGGGGGCCGGCCGGCGAGTGAGTGTGGGCGCGCGCCGGGGGATGGCTGCGGGCTAGGCCGCCCCGGGCACGCTGCAAGGCCCCGGCGCGGTCCCATATGCCCGGGCGCGGAGGCCCCAGGGTCTGCGGAGGCTTCGGGCGCCCGACCTCTCTGGCCGCCCTGTGGTACACCCAAATGGAGGAACTGGTCCAGGTGGAGGCTTGAAGACTTGGCGGACCCCTTCTCGGTCCGGGAGTCAGGAACCAGCTTCCAGTGCACCTGCATCGGTGGTAGTCTTTTACCCCGGTTTGTAACTGGCCACACGCCGACTCTCGGGGACATATGGGTGCCGTCCCCCCGCGGTCCGCCTGGGCATTCGTGATCCTGTCCCCCAAACCAGGCCCCACGCAGCCGGGGGATTCACTAACGATGCAGTGTGGCGTACGGTCTGTGAATTCTAGTTCCTCTCTGGCACATCAGGGCGTACTAAGATCCGTCGCCCCGTGCCCCGCTCCCCCAACCCCCCTCCCCGCCCCTCGCCCCATCATTCTTCCCTGCTCTCGCAGCTAGGAGTCGGTGAGATTCACATCGCGGCTTTGTTTTTAAGTGGTGAATCATATACCGAGTCCGTGTTCGGGGTGAAGTTTCTTGGGACTAAAGTTCAGTTCTCTGTTCAAATCAGTAAGATAAGGACTTTCTGTTTAGAACCTATGAAGAGATACTTGACATCCTGAGTCAAAACAGGGAAAAGTTTTTCTACTGATGACATTGAGCCTAGACTCAGACACACAGACCCTTTGCTCCCTGGAATCAGCTGTCTGCTTTTTGAGGGCACTATAAACTCTGGCAGGATGAACCATCCATTGCAGTGAAGGAGGAGTCAGTCAAGGCAGCGTGGTACAGGGGAGAGGCCAGGAGGCTTGGTTTCTAGGTCATTCTTCAACCTAATAATAACTTAGTGACATTAAACATTCAGAGTTTTCAGTTACTCTTAGATAAGAAGGGGGTAAACTGTCAATAAGTATAATTTGTGATTATATCCATCAGAGAATATTTATTGAATTCTTTGTGCCTGTGACAGGTCCTGAAAAGAAAGAAAGAAACGGTTGTAAGACATCATCAGTGGCTAAAAGACAGGAGGAGGAAAACTGACATTTACTGAGCGTCTGTTGTACCCAGGCATTCCATGTGTTGTCTCATTTAATTCTCACAGTAATCCCCTGAGGTCCTCTTACTGTCATTGTCCCTGATGTACAAATAAGGAAACTGAGGCTTAGAAAGATTAAGTAACCTTTCAAAAGGCAAACAGCTAGCAAATGCAGAGCTCAAATGCAAATCTGTCCAACCAGAACCCATTTTCCAATTTACTGTGCTGCCAGTGGGAAGTTTATAATCCAGCTGGGAAAAGCAGCAGCAACACAACCAGTTAAAAGCTAACCTGTAGGATTACGTCCAACTTTGAATGCAAGAGTTGCTGAGGAACATTGTGAAGGAGATGGAACTAGAATTTTAGTGTCACTATTTGAGTATTTTATCCTTTTGGCTCTTCTGTGGGTATTTTGGAGAATTCACATGTGAATAATTGTTTAACAACAATTTCTGAAGAATTTAGGTAAGCAACAAACGTAGACTATGGGCTCATATGGGCTTCCTTGTTATGCAAATAGTTTTCTCTTGGGACCTTCCAGACTGGCAAACACTGAAGTCAACAAAGACAGCACTTAACACTTTGTATTGCCTGTTAGATGCCATATCTTTTACAACAGATGTATCCTGCCAATCTCTTCTCTTCCCTTTCGGTGCATTTTGCAGTATAAATTGAAGAGCAGTACATGCCACTCCTTGTTCTTTACTATGGGGCTAAATGCTAGTCTTTTGAGTCACATATAAGAGGTTTGGAATATGTCCACCAATCCGTAGAGCAAAAGTTCAAAGGAAGCCTGTAGGGAAAGAAGGGGCAGTGTTTTTCTTGTCTTTCGAAAACAGCAATTTCCCTGTAGCATAAAAGGTGCAATAATGAGGGGTCAACCTGGTGGCATAGTGGTTAAGTTCATTCCCTCTGCTTCAGCAGTCCTGGGTTGACAGGTTTGGATCCCTGGCACAGATCTGCACACTGCTCGTTAAGCCATGCTGCGGCGACATCCCGCATAGAAAATAGAGGAAGATGGGCACAGATGTTAGCTCAGGGCCAGACTTCCTCACCAAAAGAAAAAAAAGTTGCAATAATGAATGGCTTATACTCTGTCTCTATATATGAAGGAGCCCCCTACATTTTTGTGAAATAAACTATTCTATGTCTAAAGCCTCAAGTTTGACCTAGGCGGGGAAAATGCCCACAACCACCATGTTCTCACCTCCACGTACTCCATGGGATGTGCCGACTTGCACTCCTTCCCAAGGATAGAAGGGTGTGCTTTTGATTCCTGTGGATGGCAGGAAGAAAGACACGGCAGCAGCCTTTGGCCTTCCCTCCCTCTTCTCGTATCAGCAAGGATCAAGCTGACATTTCACATATGTGGTTTTCAGAGTTCTGTTGGGAGGTGATAGCAGGAAGGTGGAGATGGCTGCTTATTGGATGTTGGATCTGTTTGTGGTCTGTCGGAGACTCTTTAATGGTGTCAGAATTGTAGTGAAGATTCAGTATCCATACGTAAACATTATACCGTAAAGATTTTTTTGTCACTCAAAATATTCATAATCCTTAATTGCCATTTGCTTTCGTAAAAACTAAGACGGTCCTAGGAAAGGAAGGGTAGAGTTGGAGCCTGGGAAGGAGAGATTTGTTTTTCTCTCTTTTCTATATTCAGAGGAGGTGGGAGTTTCCCCAAAACAGAGGAGTGTGGTGCAGGAAGGTCAAGTTTTTAGACTTGAGTGTGGGGAAGTGGAGGGAAATAAAATAAATTGTCTAGTATTTTTCATCATTCATTTTTAAAAAACACATTCTGCAGATACTTTGCTCAGTCACCGCATCGCAGCATGTTGAGTCAAGTCTACCGCTCTGGGTTCCAGCCCTTCGGCCAGCGTCTCCTGCCTTGGGTCCAATCTCCAGGTCTCTCCAGATCACGTATGTACCATAGGAAACTTATAAGGATGTGGGAAGTTTGGTAGAAGTGTGTTTCAAACAATGTTCTAAAGGAGGAAAAAAATGTAATTTGGTAGAATTGGACAAAGACAGTAAGCAAGGAAGCAGCCTACTGGTGAAGTGTTCTAAGTGTTTGTATTTATCAATAAAGTGGAACTTTTGGAGGTGATAGATAGGTTTATGACATACATTGTGATGGTGGTTTCACATGTGTATACTTATCTCCAAACTTATCAAATCGTATACATTAATTTTGTACAGCTTTTTGAATGTCAAATAACAAAATTTAAAAATTTTTTTAAAAATAAAGTGTTACCTATGTTCATTTCTGCCAAATTTTTTACAGACTATTTTTGTTCATTACTTTTTTTGTAATTAAGTGTTTAATTTTGAGATAATTGTAGTTTCACTTGGAGTTCTAAAAACTAATATAGAGAGATCCATTATACCTTTTTCCCAGTTCTCCCAGTATCTCAGCCAGGATATTGACATTGATAGAGTCAAGATAAGAGCATGTCCGTCACTACAGGATCCTTCAAGTTACTGTTTTCCAGCTATGCCCCTCCTCCCTATCCCTAAGCCCTGCCAACCGCTAACGTGTTCTCCATTTTTATAATTTTGTCATTTCAAAAATGTTATATAAGTGAAATCATACACTATGTGACCTTTGGGGGTGACTTTTTTTACTCAGCATAATTCTCTGGAGATTCATCTAAGTTGTGTGTATCAGTTGGTTCCTTTTTATTATGGAATAGTATTTAGTGGTATGTATCACAGTTAGTGTAGCCATTCACCCGTTGAAGGATATCTGGTTGGTTCCGTTTTTTGACTGTTGTGATCAAGGCTGCTGTGAACATTCGTGTACGGGATTTTGTGTGAACATAGTTTTCATTTGTCTGAGATAAATGCCCATGAGTTCAGTTGCTGGATCATATGGTAGGTAGTTTTATAAGAAACTGCCAAACTGTTTTTGCAGACTGGCTGTACCATTTTACATTCACACCAGCAATGTATGAATGATCCACTTTCTCTTCATCCTCACCAGCATTTGATGTTGTCACTTTTTGGTTTTATCCGTTCTGCTAGGTGTGTAATGATATCTCGTGGTTTTCACTTGCTTTTCCCTAATGGCTAATAATGTTGAACATCTTTGCATGTGCTTATTTGCCATCTGTATATCCCCTTCAGTGAAATGTCATTTGCTCATTTTTAATTGGGTTGTTTGTTTTTTTACTGTTGAATTTTGAGAGTTCTTTATCTCTTCCAGGTACTAGTTCTTGGTCAGATGGGTGATGTGAAAGTATTTTCTCCCAGTTTGTAGCTTGTCAGTTCATGCTCTTAACAGGGTCTTTTACAGAGGAAAGTTATTTTTTTTATTTTGATGAGATCCAGTTTATCAATTTTTCCTTTTATGGATTGTACTGTTGGGGTGAAATCTAAGAACTCTGTATAGCCCTCGATCCTGAAGATTTTCCCCTTTGTGTTTTTCTAAAAGTTTTACAGTTTTACATTAAGTCCATGGTCCATTTTCAGTTAATTTTTGTATAAAGTGTGGTGGTTAAGTCAAGATTCATTTTTTTGCCTCTGGATGTCTAGTTGTTCCAGCGCCATTTGTTGAAAGGCTGTTTATGATGTTTTGAGTTGGCTTTCTCCATGATAACACCTAAATCATATCAACAGTCTTATCTCCAATCCTTACTGCAAGAGGACTTGCTTAGCAACTAATCATCTGGAAAAATCTCTGTTTTGCATTCATGTAAAGAGGAATGTAAGGGTTAAAAGTTCAGGGCTTAGAACTAGGCTCCCTGGGTTTGAAAACTAGCTCTCCTACTTACTTAGTAACTAACTTAGTGACAACAGCTAAGGATTTAGGTCACAATTCTGTGAGTTGGCATTTGGACCAGGCCCAGCTGAACAGTGGTTCTATGTCTGTGTCAGCTCTTACATTGGCTCAGGGCTGATTGTTGAGGGCCAGGGGACCTCTGCTGGGCTGATAGATCGTCTGTATTCCACATGATCTCTCATCCTCTAGGTTATCCGTGGCTTCTTCGTATGATGCTTGCAGGATTCCCAAGAACAGTAACATGGAAGCTGCAAGGCCCCTTGACACCTAAGCTCAGAATTTATACAGTGTTACTTCTGCTATCTTATATTGGTCAAAGCAAGTCATAGGGCCAACCTAGATTCAAGGAGTGGGAAAATAGACTCCACCTGTTGCTAGGAGAAGCTTCAAGTATTGTGGCCATGTTTGCAGTTTGGTAATGTTGGTGAGTTACTCAACTTCTCTAGGCCTCCTTATTTCCTTATTTATTTATAAAATGAGACTAATAATAATAAAAACTAATTCATAATAACACCTGACTCATGTGGCTTAACTCATGAGGATTCAGTAAGATGACAATGATGGTAGCCGTAGCTAACAGTTTTTTATAATACCAGCTAATATTTATTGAATGTTTACTTTGTGCCTATCCCGGCTCATGCATTAAATCCTTTCATGCCCCAGCAACCTTGTGAGATCAGTAAGGTAACAGCAAGTAAGCAGGGGGATTGAGATCCCAATCCAGGCAGTCTGGCTCTAGGCGTCCTTTTGTATATCCTCTGCCTCTGTGTTAGGTGTGTGAATAGTTAACACAGCTCCTGGTATATAGTAAATATTCACTTCAGTATTCTTTTTGTCGATAGTGTTTATTCTCATTAGCCTCATTCACAAAAGGAGGCACTTTCTGATCTTGTCCCTCGATTTTTCTATTCTTGTATCCAGATTTGTCTGGAACCTGGGGCCCTGTGTTCACTGACTATGATAAGCAGAAGAGCAGGATAGAAATCGAAAGGCAAAATGACAAAGCATACAGGTAGAAGCATAGAGGGAAGTGGAAGGCCAGGAAGGGAGATGGAAGTCATGTCAGGGCCTCTTCTTGCTCAAGCCTGGAGCTCAGCCTCATTGATTGCTGAGTATAAGGACTGACACGGAAAGGTGAAGGGCTTCTCCTTCCTTGGAGTATGATCCGTGGCACTTTTGAGGACTGTGGGCGACCCTCCCCCACCCCCACCCCTAACACGTGTGCACACACGCGCACCTTGGTATCCCCTCATACTCACTAGGAGGAGATGGCTTTTCCCTGGGACTTAGAGCCTAAAGATTCCTTAGAAGATGAGAAGAGATTACCTATCCAGAAGCCTTGGATTTTTCCTAACTAATCAAGGCCTTCTCAGTCCCTAAAAAGTATAACACACTGCAGAACATAAAAAATGTCCCCAGGAAAGGTAGGGTCAATCTGGGAGGGTGAAAGCATTGTTGAACAGGAAACCCAAAAACCCCTGGATCCCATTGAGCTTTCTTTGATGCTAGAACCCGCTGGACACTGGGTTTTTACCTCCGTGAAACCTTGTTCACAGTTGTTACTTCCTCTTGAACCTTGTCAGCCCTGACCTGCTGTGACCCAGTTGTCTGCAGCCAGAGTGACCCTTGACTGCCAGGCATCAAGCCCTGCCACCCTCCTCTGCTGATGCAGACTATGGATCAGGAGTCTCATTCATGCTCACCTGGCCTGCTGGAATCTGATTGGTTTCTGCCATTTGATCACCTGCACTGACACGCTTGCCACCACCTGTGTCCCTAAGGTGCCCTCTTATGCTGCCCCACCCATGCTCAGCACCTTTCCAGGACAGGACAAGCTCTGCAGCGCACAGGAGAGATAAACAGCCAGCAGGCTTAGTCCAAAGGTATAAGTGATACTGGGGTGTAGCTCTGAGCTCTGCAAACAGCCACGAGTGATCCCAGTTCCAGACCCTAGAGGAGTAAGTCTCGCCCTCACCACCCCTCTCTCTGTCAGGTCTGTGGCCAGAACTATTATGTAGATAACTTCTAAGCTTAGACTTGGGTGTATGTATGGCTTAGGATAACGTCCCTGAAGACTGAGCCAGGGTACCTATATTGACGAAATGAAGAACGGGAGCTTTCTATGAAACTTAGCCCCAATAACAGACTGGTCCTTTAGTCCGTGAAACTCCCCCAGCAGGAAGAGACAAGCCGCCTGTGGGTCTAACAAAGGTAGCAAGCCGCACTTTGATCCCAGATGATGGACTTACTGAGCAGCTTTCTGCCAGGAACTGGCTTGTAAGCCTACTGTAAAAAAAGACTATATCATCTTTCTTGTCTCTCCACAACCTGAAGCATGGCCACTTAAAAGATGGTTATTTAGAGGATGAAAGAAAGAACTCTTTACTACTTCATTAAAAGTGTTCTTTCTAAGATTTGTGTGTGAAGGAGGCAGAGAAGGAGGAGAACACGTAGTGATCTTCTGGTCAACGAGAATACAATCCTGCCTGCTTCCCCACCATTGTTACAGCATACAGAAAAGGATAGAAGCAAGACTGTAGTTAGAAAGGGAGTTAATGGTCAGTGGTCAGAGATGAGTCAGTGGGTCTAGAGAAACTCTGAGAAATCTGTCTGTAAACATAAAGGGAGGTGATAATGGTTGATTGCAGAGGAGGAAGCTACTCTGTAACTGTAGTTATAAAAGAATGGTCCAAAAGGTGGCTTGGAATGATTACTTTAGTAATTCATTCCAATATTTATTAATTGCCTGTAATGACGCAGAGAGACTCTTGAAGGGGAAGGGCCTAAAGTTTGGTCCTGCTGAGAACCCGTGTTACCCATCTTGTCTCACTTCCTGGAGTCAGGGAATCCCACCAACCAAAGGTCCGTTTGATATGAGCGAGACCACCGTGAACAACTGACGTCCAAGTCAGCTTCTCCTCCCCTGTCCAGGCCTCGCCTGCCCCTTTGCCCGTGCACTCCTTCTCCTTCGGTATCAGTTACAGTTAGGTCAGGTGACTGTCACAGAAAACCCGAAATAGTAATGGCTCAAACAAGATAGAAATCTATTTCTCTCTTTCTTCTGAAAGAAGCCTGAGGTCCTAAAAGAAGAGAGGCAGCCCAGGGCTTCCCGGGCAGCTCTGTGAAACCATTGGGCTTCCACGCTCCTGCTTTCTTGTTGCTTCACGGTTCTTAACATCCTTTCCTGTCATCTAAGATGAATGTTTGAGCTCCATGTTCCAAGCAACAGGATGCGTGAACGGGGGAAGGAAGCACTTTTTAAGGAAATTCCTGGAAGTCCCACATAACATTTTCACATGTATCTCGTTAACCAGAATTTAGTCACATGGCCATGTCTAGCTGAGCAAGAAGGTCTTAGAAGTGTAGTCTTTTGACTGGCGGTGGTGTACTCAGCTAAAACAGGGAGGTCTGTTCATCTGTGGGAGAAAGGGCAAATGGGGGATTGGGAAGCAGCCAGCAGAAGAGTTGGACCCATGAGAAGTGGTGAAGGGGTTCAGTGCCTGCCCTTCAGCTCTTACTGCTTACTTTTGGCTCTATGCAGATGTATGTTTCAGCTTTTTAATTAAGATTTTTTTTGCCTCGTTAGAAGTCTTGCACAGCATTGCAAGAAAAAAGAATCAGGAAAGGACTGCTTAGGGGCAGATGTCCAAAGGGGTAGAAGGAAAGTATCTGAATCCCGTGTTACTTTTCTTTCAGAAAGCTATCCAGTTTCTTTTATAATTGTTATAGGCATCTGGATTTGTGCTGCCATATTAGAGAGAAAATTTGTAGGTCGATTAGTTACGATTTTTTATTATTCATACCAATTACTTTGCTCTTTATTGTCTTTGCTGATCAGACTTCCTCTCTTTTTATAGTGATGTGCTTTCTTTAAAAAGCACACATTTTTTTTTATTATGAAAGCAGAGCGTTTTTACTGCATAATTTGGAAAACATACACAAAAATAAAGAAGAAAATTAAAATCACCCATAATCTCATCAAGGTAAAATATTAACATTTGGATTTATTTTCTTCATCTTTTTCTGTGCATTTAGACATGTATTTCAAACTAACGTGTGAGGATTTTCCTGTTATTAAAAATTCTAAAAATGTTGACTAATTCTTACGCCTTTTTGGGGACATTATAAATAACACTGATGAACAGCCTTCTGATAAATCTTTTTCCCTCCATCTCTGATTAAGTCCTGAGAATAAATTTCTGAACATGGAATTGCTGGATCAAAAGATGTGAACGTTTTTAAGGCTTTTGATATATTTTGCCAACATGTCTTCAGGAAAGATTATTTTGTTTAAACTCTTCACCGGCAGTGTTTGAGTGTACCTGTGTCCTGTGTACTGGGTGTAAACTCCAGATAACAGTAGAATAAGAACATGCTGGACATGACTTTTGATATATTACTTCTACTCAGTTAAAAATGATAAAGCTATTTTTTGGCGGCTAAACTGGTTAATATTGTGCATACAACTTCTTATATTGAGAAATTATATTGTCTATTTCTTTTTTTTCCTTGCATTTGACTTTGGGGGCTACAGATCGTGTGCAGCCTTCTGCCATTAGACATGTTCGTTCTTGGAGCAACATCCCCTTTATCACTGTACCCCTCAGTCGTACACACGGCAAGTCTTTCGCGCACCGCAGTGAGCTGAAGCACGCCAAGAGGATCGTGGTGAAACTTGGAAGTGCTGTGGTGACCCGAGGGGACGAATGTGGCCTGGCACTGGGGCGCCTGGCATCCATTGTCGAGCAGGTAATTGCCAGGATGGAAAATTCTGCTGAACTAAAATAAAAGAGGGTTTTTAAGCTGTCAGTTCAGATTTATCAGCTTGTAAAAATAGTCTTGATTTGAGTGAGTGATTTAACCCAGTCTGAAAACTCCCTTTTTCAGTGTAGGTGCCAGTGGGAGGCAGCATCCCATGGCAAGCAAAGGGGGTGTCAAGGAGTAGAGTTGATTTCGTGCAGTGCATCCCTCAGGCTTCTCAGCGTATGTCAGTGATTCTTAATCCTGGCTGCACATTAGCATCATCTGAAGGGCCTAGAGATCATTGGGCTTCACACTCAACCATTTAATGAGTATCTCTGGGATGAGGCTCAAGCTTCTGTGTTTTAAAGTTCCCAGGTACCTCTAATACGTAATCAGGCTTGATTACCCAAATGGATGTGTGTAAATATTGAGGTGTTTTTTTTTTTTCTGTTTTGCTGGGCTTTTTCTTTTTTAATTAGCCCAGTAACCTTGAAATAAATATAAGCTGTCATTGCAGAGATTTCTCAAGTTCACATCTTTCAAAGGACTCACCAGACTTCACAGAGACTACCCATGTAAGGCTTTCATTGAAAGGCAAAGGGTACGAGGCAGCAAGAGAGAGAGTAAGCAAGCATTGGGCGTCTGAGAGAGATCCTGTGCACAAGCTCCCCTGGGTCTTTATTTGCACAGGAACCATTTGCAACTCTCTGCAGATTGAATCACCAGGAGATGTGTGCAAGGAATCCTGGTTTTGGAAGGGCTCAAAGCAGAAGTTTCCAGTGGGGATTTTATGTCACACTGGCCATGCAGTCAAGCCGGGCTGACTGCAAACTATCAGTAAGGAAACTGACCTTGAAGATCGACACAGGAGTTTGGACTTTAAACATACATCACAAATCCCACTATACTTATCTTTGCCAAGAGCAGGGATGAGCAGACTTTTTCTGTAAAAGGCCATGTAGTAAATATTTTAGGCTTTGTAGTCCATATGGTCTCTTGTCTCATCTACTCAGCTCTGCCGTTGTAGCACAAATGCAACCATAGGCAATACGTAAGTGAATTAGCATGGCTGTGTTCCAGTAAAACTTATTTACAAAAACAGGTGCTGGCCAGATTTGACCTGCAGCCCATATTTTGCCAGCCCCTGACCAAGAGTCAAAAACCAGACTTCCAAGGTATCCTGGAGATAAAGCCAGAGCTTTTCCATTCTAGCCATAACTTAGCTCTACCCTCCATAACCTTAATTTCAGTTTTTAAAAAACAACTTTAGGGGCCAGCCCCATGGCATAGTGGTTAAGTTTGGTGCCCTCTGCTTTGGTGGCCCAGGTTTGTGGTTTCGGATCCTGGGCGGGGACCTGCACCACTCATCAGTCATGCTGTGGCAGTGTCCCACGTACAAAATACAGGATGATTGGCACAGATGTTAGCTCAGAGCCAGTCTTCCTCAAGCAGGAAAAGAGGAAGACTGGCAACAGATGATAGCTCAGGGCGAATATTCCTCAGGAAAATAAAAACAACTTAACTAAGGAGTTGGCATTAGGAAACTGCTAACCTGAAACTTGATAAGATTTTCTTTTTATATTTTCTTTTTTTTTTTGAGGAAGCTTAGCCCTGAGCTAACATCCGTGCCCGTCTTCCTCTACTTTATATGTGGGACACCTGCCACAGCATGGCTTGCCAAGTGGTGCGTAGGTCTGTAGCCAGGATCTGAACCAGTGAACCCCGGGCCACTGAAGCTGAACGTGTGAACTTAACCTCTGTGCCATGAGGCCAGCCCCCCCCCAATATATTTTCTATACTAAGCAATTAATATTAGATCTTCCTCCAAGATTGAGTCCATCAGATCAACTTAGTTTAAAAAATATTTGTCAAAAGACTACAACTGACTATTGTCTCTGCCCCTGGGGAGCCAGAACTGATACTCCCAAAACACTTAGATGATTGTTCAAGGCAGTGAATATCCAAATGAGTCCAAATGACAGTGCCTGATTTGGTTTGGCATCCACAGGACTTGAAGGTCTTGAGGTTGGGTCCAGAGATGGGAGAGTCAGATGAGAGTGTGGTTATTCTTGGGGTATCCTAGGAGAGCTGCGGCTCACCCTGGGCCTTCATGACTGGTAGGATTTGTACCAACAAAGGGGAAATGTTCCACACTGCTAAATGCACAGGGTGAATGGTGGTCCTTGAGTTTGCATCCATTGGTTCTGGGGAAAGGGAGGTACTATGAGTGGATTCCAGGTGGAGGACAAAGACAAGAATGAGTATGGCATGCTGGTGGGCCAGGGAGGAGGTGAACTTAAAAGCAGTGGTGGTGGTCTCCTCGGGGAGAATGGATTAAAGTGGATTATTCCATTAGGCAGGGCTTTGAAGCCAGGCAGAGGAATTTAGGTTCAGTCTCAAAGCCAGGTTGAAGATTTTGAGCCGAGGAGAAACTTGATGAAAACAGTGGGGAGAGCCTGGTACTGGTTTGCTTAGGTCACCAGCTTCCCTGCAAGGGACACCTGTGGACGTCCTGGAAGGGCTTTGTCGACCAGGGCAGTTCTAATGCATAGAGTCAGCTGTCTTGTCCAAGCCATCTGATCATGTTAGATGGACTCAGCAGCCAACTTAAAATGGCTTCCACTGGCCAAAGATGGGAAGATCTGCACATCAATAAAGATAATTACTGCAGTGGATTTAAACACGTGAAATATGTTTAAATCCCTGAATTCAGAATGATACTTTCAAAGAACTCATTGATCATCTTTGGAGGATACTAGAGAACCTGCTCATTATTTTGAAACCTGGCAAATGAAGGCAAAGAGACACACATCTGTCCTGCCTTTCGTATACAAACTATACCTCAAAGTAACCAAATAGTTAATGAAGAAAAGTTTTCCTTTATGGAAGTATTCCAGCCTATAAATAAAGAAGGAATGAATGAATTAGAATATCAGCATTTTGTAGCCCTTAAGGAATGCTACTAACATCACAGAAAGAAAGACAGCCAAGCTTTAGGTATCCTCCTGATAGACACCATGACCTACAAAGAATTCTTGACAAGAAAATCAAGTCTCCATACCTAACACCAGTTTACAGGAAGTATGGAGTACAGCATTAAAACTACACCACAGGGACTCAAGCAGGAAAACTGAGGCTCGGAAACCCTAAAGGGCAAACAGCCCAGTTTCCTTAACAAAAAATTGCAAGGGAGGGGCTGGCCCAGTGGTGTAGTGGTTGGGTTCCTGCACTCTGCTTCGGCAGCCTGGGGTTCACAGGTTCGGATCCCACATGCGGACCTAGGACCGCTCATCAAGCCATGCTGTGGCAGCATCCTACATAAAATAGAGGAAGATTGGCATAGATGTTAGCTCAGCAACAATCTTCCTCAAACAAAAAGGGAAAATTGGCACAGATGTTAGCTCAGGGACAGTCTTTCTCAAGCAAAAAGAGGCAACAGATGTTAGCTCTGGGCCAGTCTTTCTCACACACACACAAAATAATTTCAAGGAAAAAGAAGTGATAGAGGGGGAACCTATGGATTAAAGGAGACTTGAGACATTTCAATTAATTGCAGTGTATGGGGTTAATTTGCACCTCAATTTGAGCAAGCTAGAAAAATTTAGGGAAATGTGAACACTGCCTAGGTATTTGATATTAAGGAATTATTGGAATGTTTTAGATGGCAATGGTTTTGTGGACGTATGTGTATATATTCCCTGTCTTTTAGCAATTACTAAAAGTAATTGCTGAAATCTTTACAGATGCAATAACATGTCTGGAGCCTGGGATTTGTATTAAAATAATGTTGGGGCTAGAAAAGTAATATTGGAGAGTGAGAAATTGGCCATGAGAAATAGTTGTAGAAGCTGGGTGATGAGCACATGGGGATTTATAATATGATTCTTACTGCTTTGGTTAAGTATGAAATTTTCTATGATAAAAAGTTATTTTTGTAAATCATGGTCTATCACAGCTGTTTGTGAGTTCCTGAGCCAGGTTGTAGGGTTCAAGCATCAGGAGGAATGGACAGGTTAGGAGTACTGACTCTATTCACATCTTGAATCTTCAGCATCTGTCCCTCATCTAGCCTGGTCTAGGGATCAGACATGCCCCAGAAATAGCCTCATCTCCCCAGGACATGCCTTAGAATTTGAGAAGCCATCTGCTAAGTTTATGTTGCAATTCCTAGCTCCAGACTTCTGTTTTGGGCTTTATTTCCTGAAACAGCTGTGCCTTCTGCATTGTAGGCTCCTCCAGATACCTTCAAGTCCTGTGGACGTCAGACCTGGCTACACACCAGAATCCTCTTCTTGAAAACTTCTGATTTCTGTCTGCCACCTGTTTATCAGATTTGAGGAAGCATGTAGGAATCTGTATTTTCACCATACAATCTGGGCGATTCTTCCAGAGCCAGCCCAGTGCTGGTCTCTAAACCAGCATTTGGGATTCACTGATAAGTCCACCTACTTGAGTCTCTTGTGACAAGAGAAAAGAGATGTTACAGTGATTTGTGGTGCCTTTTCCTTCCTTGATGTCAGGTGTCAGTGCTGCAGAATCAAGGCCGAGAGATGATGCTGGTGACCAGTGGAGCTGTGGCCTTTGGGAAGCAACGCTTGCGCCATGAGATCCTTCTGTCTCAGAGCGTGCGGCAGGCCCTGCACTCGGGGCAGAACCAGCTGAAAGAGATGGTGAGTGCTGCTTCCCCACCCCTGTAACAGGGGTCCTCAGTCTCCCTCCGTCACTCCCAACCACACCTTGTCTATTGGTGTGTTACAGGCAATACCGGTCTTAGAAGCCCGAGCCTGCGCAGCTGCTGGACAGAGTGGCCTGATGGCCTTGTATGAAGCCATGTTTACCCAGTACAGCATCTGTGCTGCCCAGGTGAGAGGCTGGCCTTTGCAAGGGGATGTGGGACCCATGAGGGTACTTCCCATGGAGCACAGGGATTGTGAGCCAGGCTCTGGAGCCAGACTGGCAGGATACAGTCTCATCTTCACCACTTACTAGTTGAGAGATCTGGAGAAAGTCTTCAGGTCTAACCTTCTTGAGCCTCAATCTCTTCATCTGAAAAATGAGGATATCAGTGACTACTTTAGAGGGTTTTTGAAGTGGTTCAGTTAGAAAATATATGGTTTTTGGGTGGTGAACATGATGTAATCTACACAGAATTCAAAATATATTACAGTGTACATCTGAAAGCTGTATAATGTTATAATCCAATGTTACTGCAATAAAAAAATAAATAAAAATAAAAATTAAAAAAGAAACTATATGAAAAGCATTTAATATAGTGCCTGGTACACAGTACATTGTCAATAATTAGCTCTTGTTGTATACTGATAGCTCTTAGGACTACTACAAGTGCTAATACCTCTGAAGATAGAAAGGTTAGAGATATCTCTTTCATTGGCTTCTTTGACTTTGGGTGGCTTGCTTCTCTTTGCACGTGGTTGCCTTATACAATAGGTATCTGTTAAGCATTAAAGGGAAACGGGAATGCTGGGGTTGGTTAGTGTTTCATTCATTCAGCAAATATTTATTGAGCACCTGTGGTGTACCGAGGAGTCTGTCAGGCGCTGGGGACAGTGTGGTGAACAAATCAGCCTTGATCCCAGTTCTCATGGAACTTATAAATTTTGAATGGTTACCCGGAATGTTCTAGAACCTTCTTTCTACATTATTCTTTCTTAGCTAAATTTCCAGAATTTTTTTCAGTTGTATTTTTGATCAGCTATACAACGGCACACCAAATAGAAATCTAAATATCATAAAACAACCGAACAGTCACTTCACAAAACAACTGAAAAAATCTTACTCATTATTATTTTCAAACTTCTTTGCTGCCTCAGATTCATTTATGCAGATGTTGCTTTACACAGGTAGTGTTTTATATACATCCTTTCAGGTTTTACCCTTCGATTTCCTGTCACTCTCTTTCTCCATCATCTTCACAGTTGTTATTCACCATGATGTTCTGGTATTATACCAGAGTATCCTTTAGTAAGTGAGCTGAAACAGAGAGGCATGGGCTTGTCCACCTGTTGCCCTTGGCTTGGGACTCCACTCTCTGTAATCTTAGTTTTTTTCTGTTAGCATAAATAGAATAGAAATCTCAATTTCTGTCACTGTTTACTATCAGCTCTCCTCTCCACAATCCAATGAGAATTTTAGTCTCTAATTTCTTAAAAGAGCCTGGAGCCAGTTATGAACACTTAGGTACAGGAACTATGTTTTTATTTATGTATTTTTTTTTTTCCCCAGGGATGATGCTTTTTGAGGTTTTTTTGGTTGGTTGGTTGATTAGGTTTAATGAAAGTAGCAGTAGGGGGCTGGTCCCATGGCTGAGTGGTTAAGTTTGCAAACTCTGCTTTGACAGCCCAGGGTTTTGTAGGTTCGGATCCTGGGTGCGGACATGGCACCTCTCAAGCCATGCTGAGGCGGCATCCCACGTAGCACACCCGGAAGGACCTACAGCTAGAATATACAACTATGTACTGGGGGGCTTTGGGGAGAAGAAGAAATAAAGATTGGTAACAGATGTTAGCTCAGGTGCCAATCTTAAAAAAAAAAGCATTAAAGGTTACTGCACTTCAGCCAATGTTTCCATTAATACTGATGTGCAAGAGCTCTGCTCCCTCCAGTTTCCAATAGCGTCCCTCCATGGACCCCCTTTTCTCCCATACCTTTGCCTTCCCCTGTGATCTTATCTACCAGAAGTTTTTGCCCTTTGCTCTTTATCCTGTGGTTCCTTGTTTTCTTTAGTAATCCTGTTTTAAAGACCATTATCAGTGGCTTTGGGCAATCTCCTGTAAGTCGTCTGTCAGATTAAAGATTTAAACAAGTGCAGCAGCTTATTTTTTCTTTGTAGAAATGAAACTGGTTTGCATCTTAACAGATCGCCCTTCTCCAAGCGCATGCTCTTTTATCTTAGGGCCTTGTCTCCTCCCTTTTATTTGTTAAACTGTTTGAGCAACAGGTGTTTTCCCTGGACCTTTCTACCTCCGCTTGCCTCTCCTACACACACGTGTTTACTTTTACTGTTGGACCTTTATCCTCTGGGGCTAGAATCTGTACATCTATAGGATTAAACTTTTCTGAGAAGGAGTTCATCGTCTACCCTTACAAAAATGCACCCCATTTCATCTTCCCCAAACCAGCAACATTTTTATTCTCCATCCCAGAAGCTAGTACAGGCATTTCAGAGGGGCTTAATAAATTTTTTATCAAATGAATTAGTGAATTATTTGCCTTAGTCATGTTACCATCTTGTCTTCTTCACCCACATTTTATATATCCTTAAGGCTGCTGTTGTCTTCTCGGTTACCATAGCCAGACTCTGGTTCAGGACTTAACCATTCCCACTTTGACTGTTTTGGTATCTTCTTGACCGTCTGCCTTCACCCTTCCCTGCTTCAGCCTGCCCTATGTCACAAGAACCCCCTTCTTAAACATCAGAGGTATTTCATTGAAGCGTTTATTCATGAGCTTCAGGGTTTGTTACCATTTCATTTCTTGCTGTCATCTCCATTTACCTTCTCTCCTGCTAAACATTGCCTGATACTCTGATTCAAGCAAGGAGGCAGAGCGGTTCACCAGCCCCACACCCAGCTCTCCCCTCTGCCTTTGAGCAGCTTGTGCTCGTCCCCTCCCCTGAACTAAGTTATATCCAGCCTTTCTTTCAGTTTGTGACTAAAGACTCACCTCCGTAACCTCTCAGACTAACCCCACATGCTCACAGTCTTTGTTAACTCCCATAGTGGTCGGCTGCAGAGCAAGAACAGTGACAACACCGCCCTGTTCCATTTTGTCTCATATAGCAAACAGGGTAAACCATTCATTCACTCACTCACCAGATGTTTCAGTACCTACTGTGGCCAGACGCTGAATCAGATGCTGGGATATAAAGATATTTTAGAAATTAATGGCAGTCATTACTTCCCCCAATATCCCTCTAAAGTAGATACATTAAGTTTCTTAATTTTGTAAATGGATGAGATTTGGTAGCTCTCTGAGGATTAAAGTACGTTTGCAAGAAGTCTTGAGCATCCTTAAATATATCTTCCAAGTGATTCTAACTTTTTTCGCATCTTTAGAAGAATTGGATAAGCATCCAGAGATGTATGTTCCATTCCCATCTATATGGGATCTCAGAAGCCTAAAGTTTAGCTCCTCTACTCTTAGCATCTTTTGTATGCTGTTCCTGGGAAGTTCATCATTTCCCTCCCTCCTGTGTTTTCCATCTATTTAATCCTTTTAGATTTTGGTGACCAATTTGGATTTCCACGATGAGCAGAAGCGCCGGAACCTTAATGGGACACTTCATGAGCTCCTGCGGATGAACATCGTCCCCATTGTCAACACAAATGATGCTGTTGTCCCCCCAGCTGAGCCCAATAGTGATCTCCAGGGGGTAAATGTGGGTAAAGTATTCCTAAGGTTGAGCATGCTGGAGACACTAATGGCACGCTATGCTGCATGTACTAACACTGGAAGTTTGGCATAAACAGCATGGAGAGATTGGGAGAGAAGCTGGCATTGTGGAGCAGCATCTGCGTAAGCTCTTCTGAAGTCAGGGGGTTCATTCAACAGGGTGAGGTGCTGTAGTGATTTAAGATGGTGCTGTGAGCATGGCTTGTGTGTGTCAGTGGATAGAAGGGTGCATGTTTGGAAAGGGGGTTGCTGTTAGGCATGGTGTTTTTTAGACGGAAGGGGCCTGTAAGAGCTGTCATCCACATGTGCGGGGTCATTAATTTTGCCTGCCAGAGCCTAGCTGAGTGCTTCTGTGAACTTCATTTTGAACTTCATAGCCCACTCACTTATGCCTTTTTACCTGCATTCCAGGTTATTAGTGTTAAAGATAATGATAGCCTGGCTGCCCGTCTGGCCGTGGAGATGAAAACTGACCTCTTGATTGTTCTTTCAGATGTCGAAGGTACAAAGTAATGCCTTTTCCTTTTAGCCAGCCTTTGTTTTAAATACTACATGTGTGAGCACGAGTTCCCCTCTTTGAGTCCTTCTGATCTTTTTTTACTATGGACCATTATTTTCTGAGCCATTTGGTCTGACAAAGAGTTTTTATGACTCAAAAGAAAGTGGGTGAGTCTGGAAGATGGGGTTTGAATGTGGAAGTATCATTTCTAGGTGCTTTAGTTTTGTTTTTTATAACAGCTTTATGGAGATATAATTCACATACCATACAATTCACCTATTTAAAGTTTAAAATTCAATGATTTTTCATATATTCATGCAGTTGTTCAACCCTCACCACAATTTTAGAACATTTTTATCATCCCAACAAGCAACCCCATACCCCTTAGCAGTCACTCCTTACTTCCCTCTAAACTCTCCAGCCCTGGGCAACCTCTAATCTGCTTTCTGTCTCTATTGATTTGCCTGTTCCAGACATTTTATATAAATAGAATCATATAATATGTGATTTGTGACTGGCTTCTCTCACTTAGCATAATGTCTTCAAGGTTCATCGATGTTATAGTATGTATCAGTACTTCCTTTCTTTTTATTGACAAATAATATTCCACTGTATAGATAAAGTACATTTTACTTATCTGTTCATCAGCTGATAGACATTTCAGCTATTATGACTAAGGCTGCTATAAACGTTGGTGTACAAGTTTTTGTGTAAACATGTTTTTTATTTTACCTAGGAGTAGAATTGCTGGATCATATGGTAACTCTATACATGTTTCGCTTTTTGAAGAAGTGCTAGAAGTGAAATGGTACCAAGCAGCTGCACTATTTTACATTCCCATAACAGTGTATGAGGGTTCTGGTTTCTCCTCATCCTCACCAACACTTCTCTCTTGTTATCTGCCTTTTTTGATTATAGCTATCCTAGTGCATGTGAAGAGAGAGCTCATTGTGGTTTTTATCACTTTCAGTTTTTAACGTAAATCATGAGATCGATTATTTTAAATTGGAGCCACTGCAGAAAGTCCAGGCTGTATGGACCATGTTCATATGTGTTACTATGTTCCTCTCTGCTTTCCTCTTCCTCATGGGGGGCACCTCTTGGCTCCAGTTTGGCTCTCCATTTATTCTTCTCACTTTTTCTTAAGCTGTTCCCATTTTACATTTTGACCCATAAGGAATATGGTAGCTGTGTCTAAAATAAGCCAAACCTACAGGATCCCAAAGTCCCCCATTACATTCCCAGGAGGTGAGAAAAACCTGTTTAATTCCCAGCCCACACCAAAGGCGGGTTATCATGTCAGGACTTGTTCTCCAGTTTACACTCCCATGGTATAAAGTAAGGACAGGGGGCTGTCTAGTGGAGGTAGTGGCAGGTATAGATGAATTGATCTGTCTTCTGCCCGTGTAGAAAGTCAGAGATATTGTTCTTGCATGTCATTATCTTTACCCGTAAGAAGTTTTGGTACCATGTTTATTCACTGTAAATTTGAAATCTCAGAACAGAAACAGCTAAGTTGGGATAAGAGTGAGCCACCCTGGAGAAGAAGGCATTTCGGTTAATCAACAGGTTTTTATTAAATTTCTCCTATGTGCAAATACTGTGCTAGGTGCTTTATAAATGTCAGTTTATTCATTCCTTGTAGCAACCCTGCAAAGTAGGTAAGTTAGCCCAGTTATTCAGATGAAGAAATTAAAAATTAAGTTCAGATCAGTTGAATGGTATATCCAAAGTCACATAGCTAATACTTGGCAGAGGTTGTTTTCAAATCTAAATATGTTTAATTTAGAAATCTACACTCTTCTCTCTTTCCTGCACTGCCTGGCAAGGTAAAGGATGTCAGTTTGACAGATCAATATATAAAACCTAATTTGAGCTAGACTCTAGTAAACAGTTCTAACACTGCCTCAAACACCAAAATTGGTTATCAACAGGCTTTTGCTCTTAACTCTGATTAATTATCCACTGAATGTTGATTTTTAGAAAAATATCAGAATTTTAAATGTGCTCTTGGTGGGTCTGAGAGGCTGCTGTCGGGGAGAAAGAGGAGTAGGCAGGATATCAGAATGTTAGTCCCTCAGCGTCTCTGGAGAAGATTTGGCTTAGAGTTGTCCAAACGTGCCTGTACTATTTATTGTGTGAAACCAAAACAGCCTCACAATCCAAGCCTGTGATCTCATGGCACAGTGCCTTCTGAGAAGCAGCCAGCCCTGAATCCTGGGAGCTGTGGCGTGCTGGGCTGAGGTGGACAGAGGTCACGAGAGGGTATTTCTCTCTCCCTGTAATTGCTGCTTGTGGTTTGTTCTACTCTGGCCATGATTTCCTCACCCCTCTGATTCACTTATTCTCCTGGAGAGAGTGTGGATAGCAGGGTTATGTTAAAGACTTGGAAAAATGGAGCAGAGAAGTGTATTGTAGCACAAGAACAGCAGCAACTTGAAACCTTAAAAGGCCACTTAAACTTAAAACATCACTACCCAGTTGTCCTTCAGCCAGTCCCCAACCATGGGCAGTTCCTCCGTGTCTGTGTCCCACTAAGGCCTTGATGTGACTTCATTTTCTCAGTCCTCTCTTTTCCCCTTCCAAGTCTCTGACTCACTCTTTTTCAAAGTGGAATTGTGAGGATTTGTGTGTGTGTGTGTGTGTGTGTGTGTGTGTGAGGAAGATTCACCCTGAGCTAACACCCATGCCAGTCTTCCTCTGCTTTGTATGTGGGACGCCTCCACAGCGTGCCTGACAAGTGGAGCAGGTCCACACCCAGGATCTGAACCCGTGAACCCAGGCTGCCAAATGGAGCCTGGGGAACTTGAACCCCTTGGCCACAGGGCCAGCCGTGAAATTGTGAGGATTTTAATCTTAGATTGTATGCATATAACATTGCCTGTAACTCTTTATTTTATGCCACTCCGCACAGTTATAAAAAGGACATAGGCTGACAACTCTGAGCAGGTGGTGCATTATGGCTGACATGCAAAATCTGGTAGAAAGATTAGAGAGGGCGGTGGGCCGCCTGGAGGCAGTATCTCAGTCCTCTGGCATGCACTATGGACATGGAGACAGTGCCCCAAAAGCAGGAACAGCTCCATATGTGCAAGTATTTGACTCACTGCTGGCCGGTCCTATGGCAGAGTACCTGAAGATCAGTAAAGAGATTGGGGGAGATGTGGAGAAACATGCGGAGATGGTCCACACAGGTCTGAAGTTGGAGCGAGCTCTCTTGGTTACAGCCTCTCAGTGCCAGCAGCCTGCAGGCAATAAGCTTTCTGATTTGTTGGCACCCATCTCAGAGCAGATCCAAGAAGTGATAACGTTTCCAGAGAAGAACCAAGGCAGCAAGTTGTTCAATCACCTGTCGGCCGTCAGCGAAAGTATCCAGGCCCTGGGTTGCGTGGCTGTGGCTCCCAAGCCTGGTCCCTATGTGAAAGAAATGAATGATGCTGCCATGTTTTATACAAACCGAGTCCTGAAGGAGTACAAAGATGTGGATAAGAAGCATGTGGACTGGGTCAAAGCTTACTTGAGTATATGGACAGAGCTGCAGGCTTACATTAAACAGTTCCATACCACCAGACTGGCCTGGAGCAAAACGGGACCTGTGGCAAAAAAACTGACTGGACTGCCATCTGGACCCTCTGCTGGATCCGGTCCTCCTCCCCCGCCACCAGGCCCACCTCCTCCCCCAGTCCCCACCAGTTCAGGCTCTGATGAGTCTGCTTCACGCTCTGCCCTGTTTGCTCAGATTAATCAGGGGGAGAGCATCACACATGCCCTGAAACATGTATCTGATGACATGAAGACGCACAAGAACCCCGCCCTGAAGGCTCAGAGTGGGCCAGTGCGAAGTGGCCCCAAACCATTCTCTGCACCTAAACCAGGAGGCAGCCCATCCCCCAAACCAGCCACAAAGAAGGAGCCACCTCTACTTGAACTGGAGGGCAAAAAGTGGAGAGTGGAAAATCAGGAGAATGTTTCCAACCTGGTAATTGATGACACGGAGCTGAAATAGGTGGCTTACATATACAAGTGTGTCAACACAACATTGCAAATCGAGGGCAAAATTAACTCCATTACAGTAGATAACTGTAAGAAACTCGGCCTGGTGTTCGATGACGTGGTGGGCATAGTGGAGATAATCAATAGTAGGGATGTCAAAGTTCAGGTAATGGGTAAAGTGCCAACCATTTCCATCAACAAAACAGATGGCTGCCACGTTTCCCTAGCAAGAATTCCCTGGATTGTGAGATAGTCAGTGCCAAATCTTCTGAAATGAATGTCCTCATTCCTACAGAAGGCGGTGACTTTAATGAGTTCCCAGTCCCTGAGCAGTTCAAGACCCTATGGAATGGGCAGAAGTTGGTCACCACAGTGACAGAAATTGCCGGATAAGCGAAGTGCCACTGGGTTCTTTGCCCTCTCCCTCACACCATGGGATAAATCTTTATCGAGACGATTCTTTTCTAGATTTCCTCTACCTTTCTGCTCTTAAACTGCTTCTCTGCTTTGAGAAGCACAGCTACCTGCCTTCACTGAAATATACCTCAGGCTGAGATTTGGGGTGGGATAGCAGGTCAGTTGATCTTCTGCAGGAAGGTGCAGCTTTCCATGTCAGCTCAACCACACCGCCAGTCCATTCTTAAGGAACTGCAGGCCAGGACTGGTGTGTTTTCGCTTTCAGCCTTTGGGAGTTATTTGGCCAACAGTCTTTTGGGAAGAATAAAGCAGTCCCCAGGAATTAACAGATCAGAATGTTCGCACAAATTAGTATTTTCTAACAATAAGCACGAAGGTAGCAGAAGCTAGTGTGATTCCAGTTGGTTCTTCTAACCAAACTAATTTTTCAGTGTTGACAAGTGAGGCAAGTATTGCACTGGACCAAAGGCTGAAGCTTGGCCTTCTAGCATTCCAAGCAAAATTGTTTCCTATAAGCATTCCTTTTATTCTGCATTCCATCCTGGGTCTGCTGGAACCTGAGATAGTAGGTTCTTCTGTACCAGCAGCTGTGGCAGTGCCTGGCACCCAGGCCAATTAAAGGAATCTTGGACCCTTTCTTTCTCTGGGATCCCTGCCCAGCACCTTCCTACAGAGATGACTTGAAAGAAAAAAAAAAAAGAAGGAAAAACAACCTACCATTCCAAGGAATCTGGCATTCCTTCCTCCTTCCATGCTAGGTGCTTGTCATCCATCCTCACTGCCTCCTTGCCCTGTCATGCTCAACCGCTTTTGGCATCTGTCAAGGCACCTGAACAGAGGACTAAAATCTCCATGCAGGCTGGTTTTAGGTCTTATGTAAAAATCTTGCACAGCATTGCTAATGTAAATTTCAGTTTTTCCCTCTAGGACACTTACCAAAATATGCAACTTTTTTTGGTCGAAAGAGAGATTGTCCTGTGACTTCTACCCATTTCCTGAGGCCTGTGGAAATAAACCTTTATGTACTTAAAGTTATACAGAAAATAGAATAAAATTAATACCAAAAAAAAAAAAATGGACATAGGCTTTGTGGTGATAAATCTAGACTGAATGCCAAGAGTCGTGCGCTCTTCTGCTGACCCAGCCTAACCTTCACAACAGCTTCCCCATAATAACGTGGGGCGTATAATCAGTGACTCTTTCAAAGGGTACTGTGAGAGTTAATGTGAAGCTGTTTCGCATTTCATCCCGCTTGGAAATAGTCACATTAAACAGTATACGGCTGCCACACTATTTCTGTAACAGCCACTCGTCTTTTTCAGTTACGTCCTTAAGGTTCAGCATCATAAATTGCCATGGCAGAAGTGAGGACAGCTTCCCGGTAGTCTGTGGGCAGGGTTGATAAATTTTGTTCTAAGGATATGGCCATGCTCTGATGCTGGCAAACGATCGTTAATTAAGCCTTTTAAGGTTATAAAAGTATGTAAGGTGAGTCCTGGAGCTGTTTTTCATTGTGACTAGACTCCGCAGATCCCTCGTGCCCTTTTCTGGTTAGATCTTGTGGAACAGCAGAATTCATCTGGATGAGTCAAGTACACAGTGCTTGGCAGGGGCCTGGAGAGGTCTGTCCTGGGGACACTCCCTTCCATTAAAGAAGTATTACGCACTCTTGTCTGCTTTTTAGGCCTGTTTGACAGCCCCCCAGGATCAGATGATGCAAAGCTCATTGATATATTTTATCCTGGAGATCAGCAGTCTGTGACGTTCGGAACCAAGTCGAGAGTAGGGATGGGTGGCATGGAAGCCAAGGTAAGAATCTGATGCCTTTATCGCATGTATCAACTATAAAACCCAAACAATATTTTATCCTTTTTACGTTTGTAACTGGGGGCTAATGGTTCAGATACTAGGCACATACATACCTAAACATACACATATCTAAATACAGGCATACCTCATTTTGTTGCGCTTTGTAGATATTGCGTTTTTTACAAGACCCTCCACCAGCAAAAAGATTACAACTCACTGAAGGCTCAGATGATGGTTAACATTTTTAACAATAAAGTACTTTTTAATTAAGGTATGTACATTTCTAGACATAATTCTATTGTACACTTAATAGCCTGCATAACTTTTATATGTACTGGGAAACAAAAAAGTCGTGTGACTCACTTTATTGTGATATTCACTTGATTGTGGTGGTTGAAACCGAACCTGCCATATTTCCAAGGTATGCCTGTACCTTGGTTTAGGTTTAATGCATATTGTGTACCTATATTTAGTCTTGTCTGTGTATGAATTCTTTTTATTAATATTATATAAAGAGTGTGTTCATATTGTAAACTCTTCAAGGGCAGCGTCTATATATTTTTCATAATTCATAAATCCTCTAATGTTACCAGCTCAAATATTTCCTGATAAAATCTTTCAAAAATTTTTCTTTCCCATTAATTTTTCTTAGAAGTTATACCCTTAAGATACATCATCATATGTAGCAATGGCAGAGATGAGGACAAGAGCCCCATTTACAAAAGCTGAAAGTCCTCAGGATCAGACTCTGGTCAAACACCAGGCTGGACACTAAGTTGAGGTGCAATAAGTCAAATGCAGAAGTTATGAGTCCCAGTACTAGAGTCTTAGAGAGAACTCGCCGAGCACAAAGGGTAGGTGGTTCATCTTTAGGCAACACACGCCAGGGTTGGGCTTGGAAGAGTGCATGGGCTGAGGGTGTTTTCCAGAGCATTCCTGCAAATATTTACATTGCTCAATATCACATTATTTTATATCTTTTGGCAAGTTTAAAGTATGAGTGACTAGAATCTGCAAGGTCTGAATCTCATCTTTGGATCTAACCTCCCCCATTAGGTGAAAGCAGCCCTCTGGGCTTTGCAAGGTGGCACTTCTGTGGTTATTGCCAACGGAACCCACCCAAAGGTGTCTGGGCACGTCATCACAGACATCGTGGAGGGGAAGAAAGTTGGCACCTTCTTTTCCGAAGTAAAGCCTGCAGGTAAGTAGCTCTTCATAGGGTCCCATGGTCTGTAGATAGCATAGCTGGTGATGCCATGGCCTCAATGGGACTGAAAACTGAGCTTTCACTCTGGAATAGAGGTCACAAAATTGATTGCTGACATGAAATATGGTATTATTTTTAAGGCTATTTCCAAAATTGGATTTTGCTTGCTTTTGTAAAATTTATCTAATCTACCTAACTAGGCCTTCTGTTTTCTCTAAAATCACTAAGTTAAAGGACATATGCATCGGGGTCAGCCCCGTGGCCTAGTGGTTAAGTTTGGCATGCTCCAGGTTCTGTTCCCAGGTATGGACCTATACCACTTGTCAGCAGCCATGCTGTGGCGGCGACTCACATACAATAGAGGAAGATTGGCACAGATGTTAGCTCAGGGTGAATCTTCCTCAGGGGGAGAAAAAAAAAAAGAATGTAATCGTCCATTTTCTCAAGAAACATTTTCTAGGCCCATGCTGGATGGCAGGTACTAATAAACACTAGAGATGCAAAGATGCATAAGATATGGTACGTACTCTCAAGTGTTCACAAATTGCCTTATCATTTACATCAGAATTGCAAACTCATTAGAAAATATGAGCCAAAGTGAAATGGAAAAGAACTCTAGAAGACATCAATTATATTGTCTACTCAAGAAATACAGACGAGTTTCTTCTGTTTATGCCTGAGTTAACCTGGTATATCGTTTTGCTGTTGTATTGGTCAGAGTGATCTCTGTGTGAGAAGCAAGCACACCAAGACACTGAGCGTTCGTTCTGTGCATGTGGTGAGCCTGAGCACAGGCTGGGATAGTGAGAGGGAACTAAGCTGACCATGGTCTGATGTTTGCAAATGTTCTCGCAGGCCCTACTGTTGAGCAGCAGGGAGAAATGGCTCGATCAGGAGGGCGGATGTTGGCCACTTTGGAACCTGAGCAGGTAATAACCCTGGCTGATAGTTTTGTTAGTTTTCAGAGTGAGTCATGCTGTGAGGTTTACTGTACAGTCACGCCTGCTGTCTCCCTCTTTATTCCTCCTGTCCCACAGAGTTAGCAGAGTTACGAGTCTGATTCAGATCTGCTCTGCCTTTTTTCTTTTTCTAAATTTTGTTTTCCCTTTTGTCTTTTGTAGGCTGAGGCCTGAGGCAGCTTTTCATCGCTATGATTTTTTATCAAAAACATAAAAATGATGAGACCAGGGAGGCTCCCTAATTCTGCCACATACTAGGCATGGAGATGTAGGAAAATTAGTTATCCCAGCCCATCTGAAGCATCTAACTTCCCTATACAGTGGAAGCTCGAGAGCCTGCTCTGTAGTCACAGCCCTGCCCTGTGCACAATGAATCTGTCGGTTGAAGTAGCAGACACGATGAGTCTGGAAATGCAAGGAGGTCAGGTGGAAGCTGGGGGCTGGCTTCCCAAGGGTTGTGTTGTTAGGGATGTATTGAGAGTGATGAGTACAGGTTTCTTCTAGGGAGAACTTTGGCCTCGGAAAGGAGAAGGGAATTTAAAATAACTATAAGTAGAGAAAGGAAAGCAAGGAGGAGCCTAGCTTGCCTCTGTTGAACCACTTCCTTTTACTCCTTCAGTGGTTACCATGCAGATTTGCCCCATTTCCTCATCTATGTGGGTAAGGATTGGGGTCTCCTCAAGCATCCTGGACTGGGTTTTTCTCCTTTGACTGAATTCATTAAATAAATAATTGTCAGAAAAGAAAAACTAGGTGCAAAAACTGACCTGGGAAGTAAACTACACAGCTAGTGATACTCAATATGTGGAGATGTGTGTATCATACCGAGTGAGAGTGCTGGTCCTTGTCTCATGGACAGATTGTTAATTCATCACACCCTTTCCCCACCACTGACTGGGCTGTGGTTTGCTAATCATAATAATCAGGAGTGGTACAAGAGGAAGAAAAGTAAGAAGAAATAGGGGGAGATTAGTACAGAGGAGGGAAAAAATGAGAGGAGCAGTGATGGGAAATGAATGATATGAGGTAAAGAGGTTTCAGTCAGTGGTGACCTTGGGTTTAGGAGCGAGGCCTGGCACAGTCAGAAGAGTAGGTTTAAAAGTGTGGTGTGGGGGCCAACCTGGTGGTGCAGTGGTTAAGTTCGCACATTCCACTTCAGTGGCCCAGGGTCCACCGGTTCGGATCCCTGATGCGGACATGGCAGTGCTTGGCAAGCCATACTGTGGTAGGCATCCCACATATAAAGTAGAGGAAGATGGGGCATGTATGTTAGCTCAGGGCCGGTCTTCCTCAGCAAAAAGAGGATTGGCAGCAGATGTTAGCTCAGGGCTAATCTTCCTCAAAAACAAAAAAAGTGTGATGTGCATTCTTGGATTGATATGTTTGCTTGTTGCTTGTTTGTGTAATGTTTTACCTTTTTTCCCAGAGAGCAGAAATTATCCATCATCTGGCTGATCTGTTGACAGACCAGCGTGACGAGATCCTGTTAGCCAACAAAAAAGACTTGGAGGAGGCAGAAGGTAAAGACCAGGCGATTTAGAGTCAATGTTAGGGAGGGTTTTGCTTTGATTTTTGTTCCCTGTTTTACTAATAATTCTTATGTCATAGTCTGCTTAAAGACAATTGTTATAAAATAAATTGTATATTATGCATCATTTTTATTGAGGGTAGGTGGCTAGTATTCAGTGGGCTTTTTCAAACTATACATACTGTCTCCACCCACTTTCCGTCCAGCTAATCTAGTACAACCGTCCAAAGGGGCTTTTTACCATTCCCCACAGGTCATGAGCCATAGCTTCTTTGGCAATTTAGGAACAAAAAGAAAAAGATTGAGGGCCCCACTATTTTAGACATTCAGCTGATAGCAGCTAGCATTTATTGAGGCCTTCCTGTGTCGCCAGGTATTGCGCGAAGGGCGTCACAGACAGAATCTCATTTTATCCTTACAACCTAGTGCCTTTGAGGTACCTACTATTTATTATCCCTATTTTATAGAGGAGGAAACTGAAGCACAGAGAAGTTGTCACGTGCCTAAAATCATATGGCCAGTGACAGATTTGGGATTCAAACCCATATGGGCTGTGCATATAAAATAGTTGTAGAAACAGTTTGTGCGGCCTGTGATGAAATACAGCTTATCTCCTAGTTAATTAAGCAGTGTGTAGTCTGCCCAGAGTTAGCAACAGGTACCACCCAGAAATGCCCTGGAGATGCTAATGGTAGAGTGAGTGAACTGACTGAACTCACATTGCGGACAACTAAGTACGTAGAGTCGGGGAGGCCCTCAGTCTTTTCTCCCTTTTCCTAATTCTCTGTCTTTTCCACCCCAAAAAATGGGTGTTGATTTTGTGGGGTTTTGAATTTCCTTTTTTCTTGAATAAATGTGCTTTAAATTAAACATTCAAATTAGTGGTGTTCCCTTAAAGAAACTTTGCAAGGCTCATCAACATTACTTTCACTCCTTAAAACGTTTTTGAGCCGTTGCTTTGGAACTTCCTTTGGAGTTTACATCTGGTCTTTTGAATTTGTGCAGTATTGAAAAATCATAAAATAGATCTTCAGAATGGAAGAAATCTTTGATGATATCTTTTCCAATTCTTTAAAGTCAAAGAGTTAAGACCCACAGAGGTTCAAGCTGTTGTTCAAGGGCACACAGCTGTTGTTGGCAGAACTCTGACTTCAGATCCCAGTTCTGTCCCTCTGGAAATTCACAAGGACACGCAGTGGCTTAAGACCAAAGTCCTGGGTACACACGATCCCCTTTGACCTGGTAAGCCCATTTCAGGAGATTTAAGAAAATATTTCAAGAAGAGAAAACAGCTTTGTATGTAAAGATTCTTAGAGCAGGATTATTTATCACACTGAAAACTGGAAACAGCCTGAGTGTCTAATAGCATAGGTGTGGTTAAGTGCATTAAGCTGTATCAACTCAGTGGAATATTTAGTAGTAAATAAAATAATTTTTGCAGTGTGGAAAATGTACATGCATTGTGAGGTGAAAACTAGAATGTAATATTTAACTTGCACTATAGTTAAACCTTGATTTTTATTTAACACATGAAGAAAATTAATTGCTATAATTGGTTGGTAGAACAATGATTTAATTTTTTTCTTAATATAAGGTTGGTTCCTTCCCTCAGAAGTAGAAATCTTTTTATTATTTTATCCTGGTGGGTGTGACTATTTTAAAAAAGGGAAAATTTTCATTTTCATCATCTCATCTCAACACGAACCATAGTAATGGATTATCATTCCAAATAGTTTTCCTGAGTGTATAGACATGTATGTATATGAATATGTGTGTGTGTATAGAGAGAGAATCACACCATGTGTACTACTGTGTTTAAATCTAAAGAAAATTCTATATATGAACTTACCATAACTCTGTTTAAGTTTTTATTTCAAAAGAAAACATCTTTATTGCTTCTGAATATAAAAATAATTCACTCAGTATAAAAAGTTAAAATTGTGGAGAAAGAGATCATCCCTGTTCTTGATGCCTCCCAGACATCTCCCTGTGTGCGTCTCTGTGCAATATTTGATCAGTAGGCTCACATCATACACGTGTTTTATAGTTTGCCTTTTTCACAAACTGTATCCTATGCAGATTTCCATATCAGTACATATATATATGTTATTTGTAATAACTGCTTTGTAGCCCGTTGTCTGAATTTTTAGGTAGAATCTAATTTCTCACTGTTACAAAAATGCTGTGGCAAATATCCTCATTACATGCAAGTTTGCTCACGCAAATGATAAATTTCTGGAACTGAAATTGTGGCACAAAGGGTGTTGGTGTGCACACCTTTACATGATGACATATACTGCTAAACAGCCCCCCAGAAAAGCTGTGTAAATGGCTTGTCGTCGTCTTCCTGAGACCCCCTAAGTTCCGTTCCTGACACGGTGCCACGTGTTCAGGAACACAGCTGTAGCCTGCTCAGACCTCCTGCCTCATCCTGCCTTCTTCACACCCCTCAGGCAGACTTGCAGCCCCTCTGCTGAAACGGTTGAGCCTCTCCACGTCCAAGTTGAACAGCCTGGCCATCGGTCTGCGGCAGATTGCGGCCTCCTCACAGGACAGCGTGGGACGTGTTTTGCGCCGGACCCGAATTGCCAAAAACTTGGAACTAGAACAAGTGACTGTCCCAATTGGAGTTCTCCTGGTCATCTTTGAATCTCGCCCTGACTGTCTACCCCAGGTCTGTGACTGACGCCTGCCGTTGGAGCCGTGATTGGAGGAGGAGTGTGTTCTCAGGACTCGAAATAGATCTCCCAAAGATATTTTCCTTTCTTTCTTCTTTTGGTGGGAAAGTCATATCTTTTTTTTTTTCTTAAAAATAATTTTTGAGACTTGATTCTTAGGTTGTTCTTAAGGTAATTTATGTTATTGATTCTTCCCGTAATTCTAAAGTAGATATGCATATGTCCATTTTACTGTTGAAGAACCTGAGGCTTATGGAAGTGAATATTCCTGTCACACTTGTAAGGGTGGAGCTGGGCCTTGAGCCCAAATGACCCTCCGGTACCACGATGCAGGAGCACGTTTCCCTATAGTTTAGCTCACAGGGGCGCTTTGTCCTCTGACCACAGCGTCCCTGCTAGCCAACTGCGGGGTCATTCATCTAATAGCTGGTTTTGCCCATGTGAAAAAGACCCCTTTTTTTTTTTTTTATCAGTGTCACAGATGGTAGGTACATCTCTCGGAAAAGAACTTTCCATAGTTAATGGAAACTAGAACGCGACCCTCTTTAAGGACTTTGTCATATCACAGGCTGATGTTGAGAACCGTGTGTTAAAGGTCTCGTCAAGCAGCCAGGCCCTGATACACAAGGTGGCGCTAGAGGGTGGACTCACTTGCCCTACACACTCTCTCAGAAGTTTGGCACCATTTCCGCACTGGACTGTCCGGTGGGATGATATCAACTCTTTCTTTGCACTAGCCCCAAAGTCTCAAGGAGAAATTCTATTTAAAGACAAAAAACAAACAAAACCCAGCACCTCGTTACTGTAAATAAGGCATAGGGGAGCATGGGAGCCCAGAATGCTTTGTGGAGGATACTCCCTGGATGACCTAAAATCAGCTTGTTCACCAAGGGACTCCCACACCATCAGGGTCTGTCCTCATCCCTGGCTGGTGCTGGCTCACTCCCCACTTCTGGCCACATACCTGTTTGCAGAAATGCCCCAGTGGAAACTGCAGAACTCTAACCTGCTAGTAGGAATGAGTCCATGAAGTCTCTCTACTTCCTTTCATCCACACCAGCTGATACTTCACAAGGAGAACTACAGCTAAGGTTCCTCACCTGGGATCTTAACCTGAATGGCGTCACAGAATCCATGAATCCTAAAATTTCTATGCAGAATTCTGTGTGTGTGTGTGTGTGTATGTATCTGGAGAACATTTACATAACTTTTATAAGGGGTCTGTGAGCAATAAAAACAAACAAAAAAGGATTAAGAACCACTAAACTGGAGATTAACATGTTCAGGCAAGATTTTTTAGTAAAGTATCTTTCTCTACATTATATAATGGGAAGATTTGCATTCTACATTATATAATGGGAAGATTTGCATTCATCCCAAGAACAATCAGAAAGTTAAGCTTCAGGCCCTGGGTGATTGGGTCTGTGTCTTTGGCTCTTTGCTATAAGTGGGTAGCTAACCCACTTCCTGGGTAGCCTACTCTTTCCTCCCCAGACAATCTTGTGCTCCTTTCTCAGTGGTCTCTGCCACAGCTGTCTAGGGGCTGGCAGGAGCTCTAGTCTTCTCCAGGTTGTCAGCACCAGGCATTTTGAGCTCTTGGAACAACTACAGGGCCAGAGGAGGACATGGCCAGAGATGCCGCCCAGCCTCAACCTGAGTCAGAGAAGCAAGCACTTGAGTCAGGAGGCAGCTGGGCACCCTATCCTCCACTGTGGCCAGAGTGGGGAGGGGGCACTTAACTCAGGTTACTTTGCTACTGGTTCTAAGGAAACCACATCGATTAGTTCTTAATATCCAGGTGGTTTCGCTCTGGAGTCAAGGCTCCCAGCCCTGCCACTTAGAAGCACTGTGACCTTGGGAAGTCACCACTTCTCGGGGCTTCGGTGTCTTTATCTATAAAGTGGGGGATAAAAAAATATTTAATTCCCTGGAGCATTTTGAAGATTCAGCGTATTAGGCATTTTAAAGTGATGAACAGAGTGCTTGGCACAGAGGTAGTACTCAGTGAGTGCTGGCTCACTGTTAGCATTACTGCTTTTCCCTTTGGTTCACTACTTTCCCCTTTGATTGGCAGGTGGCAGCCTTGGCTATTGCAAGTGGTAATGGCTTGTTACTCAAAGGAGGGAAGGAGGCCACCCACAGCAACCGGATTCTCCACCTCCTAACCCAGGAGGCCCTCTCGATCCATGGAGTGAAGGAGGCCGTACAACTAGTAAGTCCTTGGGAAGGAGCCAAGTCAGGCCTAGAGGGGCTGGGTCAGGTCTTTGGGTGTTTGAAGCAAAGCTGAGGCCGCCTAAGGCTGAGCTACTTTCAGGGGCAGGCTTGATTGGAGCAGTGGCAGGTCCTGTGTCCCTGCTGACGGTGGACAGTGCCAGGACTTCCTTGGCCCAGATAAGTCTTCAGTGGCTCAAGAAGGCCAGTCTCATTCAGCTGTGTCCTGGCACTATTGATTTACAAGAATGGCTGTTAACTTTTCATTCTTTGGGTCACAGGGCAGCAGGAATATCAGACTGAGAGTGTGAGGCCTGGTTCTGCTCACTGGCAGAGCGATTTAGGGAGAGTCAGATGAGACAAATTTTATGAAAGTTTGTCGTAAGCCATCCAGCAGCATGTAAGTATGAGGTCATGCCATTATCACTATTATCATTATGGTCATTATTTTAACCATTGTCTCACTCTCCTCAACTATGAAATGAAGTTTTTGAACTAGATAGCAATAGCTACAATTTATTGAGCACCTACTACAGGAAAGGAAGTTTTCATCCCATTATCTCTTTTAAGCCTCACAACAAGCCTTTGAGGAAAATACCATTAATTATTAGCCCCATTTTATAGATGGAAATAAACAGGCTCAGAGGTAAAATAACTCACCTAAAATCACACAGTCTGTGGTAGAGTTTAGATGTGGACTCAGGTTGACTCCAGATCCTTCTCTTTCCCATTGAGGCCACTCACTCCAACGTTCCAGGATTTTCTTGGCTGCTGGGATAGTGTCTGCAAACCTGCTGCATTACATGCTCACTGACGAGAATCGGGTTTTTTCTTAGGACAGCATAGTGGGTGGAAAGAGCAGGTTTTAGGGATTCAGATCCCAGCTGTGCCATGTGCTAGCTTAGTTAGACAGGTTTCCTCCCATCCCTTCTTCCTATTGATGTATAACTTTCATACAGTAAAGTCTACAAATCTTATGTGAACAACTCTGCCACTTTGTCCATATGTATACACACATATATAACCAGCAGCCGTATCAAGATACAGAACATTTCCAACACCCGGGCAGGCTCCCTCTGCCCTTCCTAATCAGTAAAACCACTTGTTTTACTTCTTTCACATTCAGTTTCTTTTGCTTATTCTTGAACTTCATATAAATGCAGTTATACTCAATGCCCTCTTTCGTGTTGTATTTCTTTTGTTCATTGTATGTCCGTGCAATTCATCTACATTGTTGCATCCAGCAGTAGTTTTCTCTTTTTTATCACCATGTAGTATTCCATTTACATGCATATAATACAGTTTATCCTTTCTTCTCTTGATGAACATTTGGGTTGTCTCCAGTTTTTGGCTATTCACAATAAAGTTGCTGTGAACATTCTTGAACATGTATGTTTGTATTTCTGTTGTAAGTCACATGACCGTATGGGAGAAAATTAAAAATCAAGAGGAGAAAAAAAGTGCCCATAATCTCAGTGTCCTAACGCAAGCCCGTTAGTCAGTCCACCCGGCATCCCAGGGTAGAGGCTGTCACTGGAAGTCGTGGAGAACCGTGACCCAGCAGGATGCGTGCTGTGATGAGAGAACCAAGAGAGCAGCCACTGAGACCCTTCCTCAGGGCCTGGCATCATCTCTGCCTCCTCTCGCTTCCATGATAGCACTTCGTACTCTTCTGGCGTGTTTTAAATTATCTGCAGTGTGTTGTGGCTGGTAGTGTCCTAACCCTGTCTTCCCTGCTGGACTCTGAGCTCTTCGAGGGCGGGGCCTCTGTCCTGCATGTTTTGTGATGCAGAGCACAGCACCTGATGTGTAGTGTTTGATAAGCATTTCCTGGATGACTTTTCGATCCCCAAGATCAGGAACTTAATCTCATTTCTGGAGTAAGTTTTCAGTGTCTGACTGAGTTGTCAGGAGATACAGACATTTATCTGTAAAAGGGATGCTGCTTCCTCTATATTTGGTGTGGTCAGAAGATGTCATTCTCTTGGTCTGAGGAACCTCACTTCACTGGAATGTCGTGAGGATCTCGGAAGAATTCCTGTGGAGTGGATTCAGTTCCTGAGAAAAACAGAGCTCCCTGATTATTGAGCGTGCTTCTCCCAGACTAGGAGGCCATGCTGCTTAGTCACAAAGGAGATAACCCTTCAGGGCAGGCAGGCAGGGCTCTGTTCCCTTCCATTTCTGAAAGGCAAAGGAGGCTTTTCCTCCTCTGAGGATTCATTTCGTTAGTTAGTTCACTCACTCACTCATTCACTGATTCAGTGTCTGCTCCATGCCAGGCATTACGCTGGGCTCAGGGCTACAAAAGGGCGTCAAACCTGGGTTTGACTCCTGAGAGGCTTACAGTCCTTTCCGGATGTATTTTGGACCTGGAAGCTGGGATAGTAGAAATTGGGTCTCTGTGTATCATCTCTGTATTTTTGTGTTTACAGGCTCACGTGATCAGTCTTTTGAGGGTTTTTTTGACTAATAATGTTAATTCCTTAGATAATTTGAAAACATGTCCTGTATTTTCATCATTTAGAATGGTATAATTTTGTCATGACCTAATCTTCCCAAGATTTCGTATTAAAAGGAGTCAGACACCCCTCACCAAAAAAACAAAGATGTCATCTTTATCTTTTCATTCTCTGCCTCTTCAGGTGAATACCAGAGAAGAAGTGGAAGATCTTTGCCGCCTAGACAAAATGATAGATCTTATTATTCCACGTGGCTCTTCCCAGCTGGTCAGAGACATCCAGAAAGCTGCTAAGGGCATTCCAGTGATGGGGCACAGTGAAGGGATCTGTCACATGTATGTGGACTCAGAGGCCAGTGTGGATAAAGTCACTAGACTAGGTGAGCTGAATGGGGTCCCCTGTTTTATGTGGGCGAAATATTTGTCAAGTCCTCTGTGGCTCTGGATCATTAGAAGGAATTCTTTGTCGTCCTTCTTTCAGTCAGAGACTCGAAATGTGAGTATCCAGCTGCCTGTAATGCTTTAGAGACTCTGTTGATCCATCGAGATCTGCTGAGAACACCATTGTTTGACCAGATCATTGATATGCTGAGAGTGGAACAGGTAAGACAAGTCCACAGGACTCGTACATCACTTGCCCTCATCCGTCCTGAGATTTAGAAGCCTGTGGGATTAGACCAGGAGCACCTGCCACACTATTTAAGGCAATTTAAGAAGCAGTATTTTGGAGCATCTGCTATGTACAAAGTTCTGTGCTAAATACATAGAGATGCATAAGACATGCCCCTGCCTTCTGACAGTCTAGTAGATGGAAGAAACCCATACACAAACAGCGTCATTACAAAGTGGAATGTGCTAAGTGCTAAGAGCCTCCAAAGATAAGGCAGATTACGTGGCAGCCCACTGAATGGGCTATTTCTGGCAACCTTTTATTCAGGCGGCATAGTTTAAAGGTTATTTTTCTGAACACATTCCTGTTTGGATTTGATTTGAAAAGATAGTACAGCAATGTTTTCAAACCAAAAATTTATATGCATCCATTCCTCCACAAATGTATTAAATTACCAGTATTAATGTACTTAATACAGTGACATTCGGGAGTCAACAATTTGTGTAATGTCCTCTCTGGATTATTTTCTTACCATGTCATTAAGTTTATAAACAACCAAAGCCAGGAAGTTTCAAACACAAGTGTATGTTCCATCCTCAATTTCTAATTGCTAGAAAATAGATGCTCTCTGGGCAAAAACAGACGATCTTAAATTTTCTGTCAGGATGCATTTTAAGCTCTAATATCTCATGTCGTGGTGCCCTTTCAGAATTACATAAACTAGCCCAGCAGTAGAGAAAGTGACTGGTGGCCTTGCTTCCTTTGACCCTAAGCATGTGTCTTTTCCCTTCCATCCTTTTGCTGGAAAGAAAGGTTCTAATCAGCTTATAAATGTGGCATGGTCCCAGTGAGAACCTGAGAAGATTGTTTTGAAAATGGAAATGTACTCTACAAGTTAAAAGGGAGTCAGAGCACATGATCACTCATGTTTGGGGCCCTGCTTTACGTTAGTGGCCTGTTTAATTGGGCAGCTATGTATGCCAAGCACCACACCAGACCGGACAGGAAGCAAGCTGTTTTTTAGCCAGGAATAAAACCCCCAGTCCTGATTCAGACAAACCCGTGGTATCCTCAGTCATCCTCAGGATTGCCTTGATGTTTCTCAAGTCAAAATGAGTCAATATGTACTTCATGCAGCACCTTTGTGTTGCAGGAAGTAAACCAGCGGGGCGACTTGCACAGAGCTGCCGCTGTGGGAGGGGATTCCAGGCCCTGCGGAACGTGGTTGGACCGAGGCCTGGAGGACATGGGGTCCTCAGTAGGAAACCATGCAGGGTCTCAGGAGCAGTGACAGGACGAGCACTGATTGTTGTAACTTGTGCCAAGGCAAGAGCTTGGTCCCAAAGAATCAAGGTGTGAACCCTGCCCTGGGGAAGTCTCAGAGAATGAGGCCGAAGTGGGATTTTTTTGACTTGTGACCGGGGCCATCAGTCACCAGCATCAGGATCCTTAAAGTTCTCCAGCCAGGAACAGGATTAGCCCCAGAGTCTGGAGCTGAGCCGAACATAGAGGTGGGGCCAGATTGACAGAGTCAGAAATCTGACAGCCGCGTTTTGAGGTGGTTACTAACCAAGCACTGTTTTCCTCTAAAGCACACCTAAGAATTCTCCGGGGTGAAGGGAGTAGAACTGTATACGTGGCATCTCCCTCTTTCCATGAGTCCATTGCTCAGGTCTCATATGCAGAGAATGGGATTTGTGTCTGTGTGTGTGAGGAAGATCAGCCATGAGCTAACGTCTGTGCTAATCTTCCTCTATTTTGTATGTGGGTTGCCTGCCACAGCATGGCTTGATGAGCGGTGTCTAGGTCCACACCCAGGATCCAAGCCTGCAAACCCCAGGCCGCTAAAGTGGAGTGCACGAACTTAACCACTATGCCATTGAGCCAGCCCTGAGAATGGGACTTTTTTTTTTGAGGAAGATTAACCCTGAGCTAACTGCTGCCAATCCTCCTCTTTTTGCTGAGGAAGACTGGCCCTGAGCTAACATCCATGCCCATCTTCCTCTACTTTATATGTGGGATGCCTACCACAGCATGGTGTGCCAAGCAGTGCCATGTCTGCACCCGGGATCCAAACCGGCGAACCCCGGGCCATCGAAGCGAAACATGCAAACTTAACTGCTGCGCCACCGGGTCGGCCCCTGAGAATGGGATTTTTATAGTCAGATGTTCATTTAAGTAAAATGCAGTCAAGGGCTTATGTTGATAGCCCCATGAATGCCTTGCTCATTCTTAACATTCAGAGGCTTTCTGCTTAAATCCCTGCCCCAGTTTTACTGAGGGCCACTGCTGGCAAGTGGCCAGTCAGCCTTTTCGAAAGCAGAGCATCCTGGAGGATGGGAAGCTGCCTCTAAAAGGAAGGCAGGGACTAGGTTAGTTGTCCAGGCTGCAGGAGCCACAGGCTCATCATCTTCAGGCCCATCTTGCTGTGTGATCCTAGAGGAAGAAGTGTGAGCGTGCTTGTTTCTGTTGCGTTCATGTTGTTGCCCCGGACTTCCTCTGTTCCAGGTGAAGATTCACGCAGGCCCCAAGTTCGCCTCCTATTTGACCTTCAGCCCCTCCGAAGTGAAGTCCCTCCGAACTGAGTATGGGGACCTGGAATTGTGCATTGAAGTGGTGGACAACGTCCAGGAGGCCATCGACCACATCCACAAGTACGGCAGCTCCCACACAGATGTCATCGTCACAGAGAATGGTCAGTGTCCAGATGCTTCAAGCATATGGTGTCTGCTTTTTCTGCTTTGATCTCCAAGGTGGTCCTGCTCCTCTCAGCCCCTCTTGGCCTGCAGGAAAACATAATCCAAATAGACTAAAGAAAGCCTGGTCTTGGTTGCATTTGATGATTTGCCGAGTGCTTTCACATCCCTTCCCTCATTATATTGTCACAGCGGGCCATGTGGGAGCAGGCGGGGAAGAGATGTTTAGCTCCACTCAAAGATGACTCGCTCTGTCTCAGAGGTTTTATCATTTCATCGTTAAAATAATATTTCCAGTTGTTGGAATAAATCCATTTTACAACTGAGGAAACCAAGGCCCAGAACCATCTTGTTAAGGGCAGAACCAGCTCTCCACATTCCTTCATCCTGCAGATATGTATTGAGAGAGACACCTCGGTATCAGGCACTGGAGGCCCGGTGGTGAAGGAAGCCCATGTGGCCCCCTCAGGGAATTTACAGTCAGTTTATCGGGGAATCAGAACACCACCAATAGTAATAGCTAACATTTACTGAATACTCACCACGTGCTAGGCTCTGGGATGAGTGCTCTATGGATGTCAACTCATTTTATCTTCTCCACAACCCTGTGGACTGGGTAATATTGTCACTTCCCATCTTACTCAGGCTCAGAGAGATCACCCAGCTAGTGGGTGTGGAGTTGGAGTTCAGACTGAGGCCTATAAACAAATAGGCTCTGAGTTTACTCCAGAGCCTATAAACAGATAGTGTAGACAAGCCATTGCAGCATTGAGGGTGTGTCTCCAGTAGGAGATCTGGATTCCAAAGCGGTCTTTCCCAGACAAGTACTCTTCCCACAACAGTGACTGATGAAGTGGGTTTGCCACCTTCTTCAGATTTCTCGCAGGTCTGCGTGTTCAATATGTGGGGCAACTCCTTGGGGCCTGGGCCCTGCCCCAGTCAGCCACCAGTGACTGGCTGGAAGCAGGGATGTTCTCCGTGTGTCATCCTAACTTGATTTCTTCTCTCACTTCATGCTGCAGAGAAAACAGCAGAGTTCTTCCTCCAGCACGTGGATAGCGCCTGCGTGTTCTGGAACGCCAGCACTCGCTTCTCTGATGGCTACCGCTTCGGACTAGGTAAGAAAGACTCTGGACAGGGGAAAAAGGAGTCCCTTGTGTACCACTGTGTGGTCCAAGGAGTGTGGTGAGGGTGGTTTTAATCTTAATCTCTCCATAATCCATGCTTGATCAAGATAATAGAGACAGAATTGTGGGAGGGTGGGTTTATGAGCGAGGACAATAATAGCTTCCGTGAGTTGCTGGAAGTCCTATGCTGTAGGCATGTCACGTGTTAAGAAGGTAGGTACTGGTATTTCGTTTTTCACAGATAGGGAAACTGAGATTCAAAGAAGTGAAGTAACTTGCCCAAAGTCACACAGCTGGCATTCAGGCCCAAACTTGTGCAAGTCCAAAGCCCAGATCACTCCCACCTCAGTTTGGGCAGACCACAGCGTGTCTTCATGCACAGGTTGTGACAGGTGTACATGCCGAGGTCCCTCGAGAGCACTGCCCTTGCAGACTGACTTCTTCAGAGAGACACAGCCAGGTTGCCTCAGAGCTAGGAATTCCCCATGAGAACAGGACAAAAGAAGGTGTTAGTACTGATGCTGGGCTTAAGTGTCAGCATCAGAAACAAACAGGTAAGCCCGGAAGTGCAAGATTTACCTGTAAAGCAGACTGAAATAAAAAGCTTCAGAAAGATACCCTTCTCTCCCCTTGTGAGGGGTTTCTCAGTCTTTGGTTTTCCAGGGTACCACTCTGCAGAGCTCCGATAAGGCATTTATGACACATCGGAGAATTATTTCAACCACTTAAAACATTTTAATCCCTCTGAACTTTTGACTAGATGATCTGCCTGGAGAAATAGTTCTCACTGAATTGTTAAAGGTTATTAAAGGGAATTTTACCCGGTTATTCTTAGTCATTAGGCTCTTTTTTCTCAGTTCCCTGCTCCTCTGATGTTGGGGTTTTGATTTAATTATCGCATTGCTTGCACAGATCTCTGTATTCCATGTTCTTGAAGAAGAAATAGCAGCGTGCTTTTAAGGGCTGAGGTGCCAGCTTTCAAGTGAAAGTCCAAGAATGGGGGAGAGCGGAAGACCCCTCCGCTGTCTTTCCATCACCAGCTCAGAGCAAAAGCTCCAACTCTAATTGAGTTAAATTCCTGGGAAATGCGTTGATAGCAGTGACAGATAATGCACGTTGAGCGTTCACTACATCCCCAGCGCTGTGCTAAGTGCATCACAGCCATTATCTCACTGAGTGCTTCAAAATGGATTCCATATTTTCTGCATTTTCCAGAGGAAACAGTGGGAGTGTGAGGAAGGGTTAGGTAATGTGCCCTGAGTCCTGTGGTCTCTTCACTGCTCAACCAGGCTTGCCCCAGGGGTCTCCCTCCTCATGCCAACTCTACCCTGGGCACATCCCCGCTCAGGCCTTTGCCCTCCACTTCTCTCTGCCTGCAGCCCCTCTCCGCCTGCTGTGCCCCTGGCTGGCTCCTTCGCCTTGTTCAGGTTGCAGCGGAAAGTTACCTCCCCAGGAAGGCTCTCTCTGGCTACCCTCTTGAGTGTGTCCCCACCCGACCCACGCAGTCTGTCCCAGCTCCCTCCACTGCACTCAGTCACCATGTGAAGTTATGTGCTAAACTGTTCTTCAGCCCCTTGCCCACACGAAAACAGGACCTTGTATCAATTATTCACCCTTATCCCTAGGGCTCACCCAGCACAGTGCCTGTACATAGTACATGCTCAGTAAAGTTGTGGTGAACCAGGGAGGCCTGCCTGTCCTGTGTGCAGTGCAGAACCTGGGGCCAGACCCAGGAAGACCCCTGATGTCCCGGCAAACATGGTCCCGAAGCCTGGAGCAAGAGGGAAAAGACATGAATAGCACCCCTCCATGTACTCAGCAACTGTCTAATGAGTACCTGTGTGCTAAGAATTCTGAGGGACACTAAGAACTTGTCCCTTACATTCTAGGATTTAAAGAATATTTGGGGAGATAAGACCTCTATACTAATTATTGTTGTATACCTCAGAAGATGCCCAAATGTTGAATTATGATAGACAATCCAGATACTAAACAGATAGCAGAGACAGCACCTCTGGTATTAGCAAAATGCATTGGGGATGAAGTACAAAAGAGAGGCCCACACATTGTGTTTGCAGAAGAAGGGGGCTTTTCATGATGTCTAGTGACCAGAGAACAGGTTTACAGAGACAGTGGAACTCTGGCTGGCCTGGGGAGGAGGGGTCAAGAGTGGGCAGGGAGACAGGGTGCCACATAAGAAGAAGGAAGAGACGTGGGTCTGGAGGGCGGACAGGAAGCGGAGGCTAGGGAAAGCCACGTCCTCATCCATGCTTTTTCGCAGGAGCTGAAGTGGGCATCAGTACATCACGAATCCACGCCCGGGGACCAGTAGGACTGGAGGGACTCCTTACCACCAAGTGGCTGCTGCGAGGGCAAGACCACGTGGTCTCAGATTTCTCAGAGCATGGAAGTTTAAAATATCTTCACGAGACCCTCCCTGTTCCTCAGAGAAACACCAACTGAAAGCGTTCAGAGAAGAGCCGGAGTGTACCGAGAGGTCTTCACAGTTCACCTTGTCTTAGGAATCTCAGGGGATGAGCCAGGTCTTGTCTCCCACTTGCTGGAAGGGTCTGCCTGTTGGGAAGCTCACCTAGATGCTTCTGGGCTCAGTTTGGTAACATCAGTCTCAGCTAATGCGTGTTCCAGGTCACTCTTCTCTCTCTCTTTTTTTTAAGCTAGAAAATAATTGCTATGGATAGGGACTTTGCTTAATTGCTGCAGCTTTGGACTTTGCTTCACCCAGTCCAGTTCCTTGCAGTGACAGAAACAGAAAGATGCAGTTCGCCCACATAAAAGGCAATGGAAAAATTGTGGCTGCTTTTTACCTTTTATCGCCTCAATGAGGTAAAGTCTCCCTTGGCATTTGGTTGGTACTGGAGCCACTCATACCTAATAAGTCCTTCTGCTTTTCATTTCTTTCACACTCATAGTCATCCTCGAAAAGGAGAGATGTGAGATTGTAGAAAAAAGGGGCAGCTCTTCTTTCTGGCATTCTTATTTGAAACAATCACAAAAATGAACTGAATCATTTTCACTGGGAAGATTGACCTTTTGTATTTATTTGCTGAGTAAATGTAAATAAGCATTCCAGATGCTTGCAGCGTCCCCAGATGCAGGAGAGTCGGCATTACCCTTGCTGCAGCTGCAACCTGGAGCTGCAGGCAGGAGGTGTGAGTCTCAGGATGAAGTATGTGCTGCAGCAATTACGCTTGAGACTTTTATATAAATTATTTTGTCATCCTATCCTTTCTCTCCAAAACGAAAATTAGAGGATTATTTTAGTACTTTGGATTCTTCCCCCCTTTTTGAGAAATAAAGTTCTTATGAAAAGCCCTTGTGCACGAGTAAAATTTTCTCCTCCTTTGTCGTTACCCTCTTCCTCTTCCCTCCCTTGTGGCTCTCACCCCCAACTGTTACACATCGTCTCTTCTCTGGAAGTTGGTGGGGCGACGCCCAGCCATCTGCCTCAACAGCGTCAGTGGAAGCAGTTCAGGCAGGCCCCAGGCATGGACTCATCCTCAGGGAGGTGTTGGGAGAGAGGAGAGGAAAACAGGAGATTAAGCCCCAGGAGCTGAAGGACCGAAAGCCTGGTGATGGTCTGAAGTCAGGCTGTGTACACCGCCAGCGTGCTGCCATTGTGCCAGGTCCACACAGCGTCCACCCAGACGCCAGTAGCCCCGGCTGACATCCTTAGTTCACTCTGGAAGATCCTCCCTGCCAGTCCCATTGCAGAGACAGGATGCCTGTTTCACTGACAGCTCTACCGCCCCAACCCCGCCATCTAGCTCCTGTTCTTAGGGTCCCTGGTGCCCGACAGTCTGCAGTGAAAGATTTCGTGTCTCGTGGGGCTCCTCTGAAAGAAATAAGCCCTCACTTGCATGCCTCTTATCTTCTGAGGATGTTTTATGAGCACAAGAATTGTGTCGGGTGAAACAAGTTCCCAGGCTGGCTCCAAACTCTCCTTCTCATCCAGACCCTTACATGGTCTGGCCAGTTACCCTCTTGCCTGCCCTCTGGATGGGGGATTCTGGCAGAGCTTGCCTGAAAAGGCAGTAAACAAAGTCCTGCCTGAAACTGTGTGGCAAATACCACAATCAGCTCCCAACCAGACAACAAGTGCCCCTGGAGTCTAAAATAGAAAGCGACTCCGGAAGGCCGGGGCCCTTGGGGAAGACGCCACTGAGCAGGCAGGCCTGGATCTGGGCCCTGAGAAAGACGAGTCGTAGGAGTAGGGAGCAGGCAGAGCATTCAGGCAGGGCACTGGTGCGAGTGAAAGTCCAGAGGGGGATGAAACTCAAGTTGGAGAGCAGTGAATATGCCAGTTTGGGGCAGAAGTGCATGTGGGTAAACAGAAGGTATTACATCCCAAACAGCTGACATCGGTATAATCTTGACGGAGCCAACCCTTCTTAGGGCATGGAATGGGGGTGGGGTTTGGTCTGGAATACACAGGTAAAGCTCAGTTATCCAACCAGGCCATTTCCCCTCTGCAGCAACCTCAGCCTTAGTCCATTTCTGTAGAAACCGTGGGCCATCAGCATTCTCCCTTTGCCACCCAAAGTGAAGAGATTCCCTAAAAGAGGGCCAGGAGGCAGCCATAGCCTCACAAGGACCGCCCCCCAGGTGAGCTTCTAGGACTTCCTGCCTTGTCCAGGCTAAGGGAAGGGGGCTTTTTCTTCTGAAATCCCTCCTGTGGTCCAGCCCTACTACTTCCTTTCCTGGCTTGACAGCTCATGCCACTGAACCAACCGATTCGGAAGCTGCCCCTCCCAACAAAGAGGAATAAGAGCGCTCCTGGGAGACGTAAAATAACATAGGTTCTTATTTGTCAAGCCAAGTTTACTTGGGTTTAGGTTTTCTGTTACTTACAGCCAAAAGTCTCTCAACAATACAGTATATACGTACATGATGGGGGCGTTTACAAAATTATTCCTATAGGAAGAAAGGTGGGCAGCCAAGGACTAGATTATCATAGGTGTTGTCTGCTCTATATCCCGTGTCTTAGAGAACCCTCTCTCCCCCATTTTGTGGTGATCTTGCTCAGTCTCTGGTTCAGGGGAGGGATGCTGACCTCCCCCTGCGTCGCTGTTTTTAGTGGTAGTCACGTGACTTGGGCCTGACCACTCTGAGTCCTCTGCTGCCCTGCTGACAGTGCTCGCTTCAGGACTGGGCATAGGATTGAAACTTGGCCAAACAGCGTCCTGGTACAAGTGAATTTTTGCTGCAGTTATTAGGAAAAACAAACTCTCCTCCTCTGGGGTTATAAACTCCACGTCTCAAGGAGGTCTAAAGCTGATAGTATCCATCCTTCCTGCCACGTAGAGAGACCTGTGTGAGAAGCATCCAACACAGAGGAAAGGGAGCCAGGGCATATAGACTTTGCCCACCTGGTTTCATCCATGCCTGACTTCCACCACTGGACTCAATTCAATAATTCCCCCTTTTTTGCTTAAGCTGGTTTGAGTTGGGTTTCTATCTCTTTCATCTCAGATGACTCTGGATAATATACCTGGGTTCAAATTGCTACCGTTTGTTAAACGAGTGACTTTGGGCAAGTTACTTAAGTTCTGTGAGCCTCCGTTTCCTGGTGGGAATATTGACATCTCCGTCATAGGTGGTAAAGTAAATACTCGGCACGACAGGGGCACCTAGCAAGCCCTCCATAAGCAGGAGATGGTCACTTGCTGTGGTTTTCAGGTGCCCAGCTGTGCGCTTAGCTTTGCACTCCACAAGAAACTACAAGTTTCTTCCGTTACTCTTGAGGCAGTATTCACGAGCCAGATTTTCCCATCCCAGCATCGTCTGGTCACCAGAATCCCAGCCTTGCCCTCCACACGAGCAGGAGGAGCAGAGCACTGGACTCTGATCAGACATTTAAGCACCTGGAGTGGGTGGGCAGCTGCTACTGAGAAGGGCATGAGCAGTAGGGACCCTATCTTGGGTCTGGGGAAGAGAAGTGAACCCAGGTGACGTCATCTTCTGTTTGAAAGAAGATAGGTGATCCCGTTTCGGCTGAGGGGAGCAGGGCTTCTGTATGCAGGCGGCGGGAACAAAGCAAGAGCCATTGGTTTCCAGATACTTAGACGTGAGCGCTGCGGTACAGTATAAAATACGTGCAGTGTGTGTGCCCTTCTGAATTAAACATTCATTTGTAAATCTCTGGGCAAACACAAAGATTCTGCATATTTAGATGAATCCTCTGGAAATCTTGCCTGGCTAAGGCTTTCTATCTGCTAATCAAGGCTCTTTTTTGATTCAAGGGCAGGTGTTGTTGATGTCATTACTACTCGCATCTGTCTCTCAAATCTACATGGGACAAAATATTTCTGGGAGTATTTTGTGCCCTGTATGGATAGTGTCCACGAAGCAGCAACTGTGAGAATGTTTTCAGGTTCAAGTAACAGATACCCCAGGTCAAACTAGTTTTACAGAAGGAAAAGGTATTTAGTTGCTTACATAACTGAGGAAGTCCAGAGGCGTAGTTCAGGCATGATTTCATCAGGGCTTGGCTCTTTTTCTCTGTAGATCTCTGTAAATCAGTGGTTTTCAAACTTTAACATCTCAGAATCACCTGCAGGTTGTTAAAACAGATTGCTGATTCAGTAGATCTGGGATAGGGGCTAAGAATTTGCATTTCTAATAAGTTTCCAGCTGCTGTTGCTGCTGTTGGCCACCAATCCAGTAACCACACTTTGAGAACCACAGCTCGAGATACCTGCCAACCCGTCCACTATTGTGGGTTGGGTGATGGAGTGGGGTCAGAAAACTACGTTTCCTCCCACCACTGTCCAGTGAAAGTCCTAAGCTTTACTCTTACTAAATTGGCCTGAATCAATCACTAAATGTAGAAATTGAGTTGTCTGTCACAGGAAATCCAAACAACTAGAGCTAGAACGTGATAGGGGTTCAGTTTTGTCTCGTGTAAAAAGAGGTCTGGAGGTAGGCATCTCAGGGCTGAGGTGATGGCTCCATGATGTCATCAGGCTCTTGGGCTCCTTTTGATTTCTGCTCTTCCATCCTAGGGTGAGGCCCTTGTCTAGATGCTAGTGGAATTCCAACCATCAGGACTGTGTTCCAGGTAACAGGAAGGAGGAAGAACCATGGGTAAGAGCACATGCCAGCCACCCCTTCTAAGCGCCTTTCCAGGAAGGCCCATCCACTGCTTTGGCCAGAACTGGCTCATGCCACACCCCCCACCTTGTGCCCCACCCTCTTGTCTACAAGGGATCTGAGAAGTGTTGTTTTTTCATCTGGGCATATTGCAACTCTAAGAAGTAGGAGTCTATTGGTAAAGGAGAAGGGAAATTGGGTAGGGGAAGAAAATTATCCTCATTGATTCATGGAGCTGGGAGTGGGATCCATTCAGCTAAACAACATGGCTGTTAGGGAGGAACTATTTCATGTGGCCACATGGACAACTCTAGCTGCAAGGGAAGCTGGGAAATGTAGCTTTACAGCTGGGTACATTCCTGCCAAACAGAAAGGATCCTCTTTTTGTAAGGAAACAAAGAGGATAAAGATCTGTGGGGTAAACTGCTAGCACTGTTTGCCACAATTACCCTAAGGCCTCTCTAAAGAGTGGATTTTCTTAGACAGCTCCTTTGTTCCCTTGAGTTCACTGATGGGTTTAGAATTCAGGTTTTGTGGTAGGTTGGGGGAAAGCTGAATTGCTCTGTAAGAGATGGAGAAAAAGTGAAACTCCAGGGCCATCTGTTCTGAGAGGAGGAAGGGAGTTGAGACTTGCCCTGAGCAGAGGGTACCACCCAAGGAGCAGCAGGCAATTAGGCTGGAGAAAGCTAGACCACCAAAGTGTAAGAAAAGCCATCTGTTTGTACACTGACGGCTCAATGGGGGTGATTCTCTTGGAGGATCTTGCATTTTAGGAAAATGCCACAGTAACAGGGGTCCTGTTATTCCAAAGAATTAGCCAGAGTGACATGGTGGAAAGAGCATGCGTTTGGGAGTCATATTGACCTGCTCTGCCATCTATAAATTGTATGAACTTAGCAGAGTTACGGAAATGAGCCTTAGTTTCCTTATTTGGAAAAAGAAGAGGACTAACACCTACCTATCAGGAGAGATTCAGGTAATGGTTTGGACACCCAGCTCATGGAAGCAGCTCCATCAGCATTAGCCACAGTTAGCAGTAGGGACCCACCTGGTATGTCTTTGTATTTCCCACTGGCCCAGTAGGAGCAATGCATACAGGTGCTCCTTGACCACTGAAGTGGACTACTTGGGCAGAGTTATGGAGGTGGAGGGGGCCCGTCTCTGAGATCCGTAGACCATTGGGGACACTGGTGTGATGGTGGCAGCCTAAAATGATCATATAT